TTTCAGGTTTGGGGCAGCATCTTGATATCATGCGTATCATCCCCGAACGTTGAACCTTTCCATGACTGCTTGGACCAGGTTCGCTGGAATTCAGGTCCCGTTGGTACTCGGGACTCTCTGGCGATGCAACGGCTGTCGATTGCGCCAGTGACTGCTGCATGGACACTACCTTCACGCCAAGCTACCCGGAAGACGTGACGTATCTTGGACTTGGTCAGAAACAGAAACAAACAGGTCAAACAAACCCTGCAGCGATTCGAGGGCGGCCAGCTCGTCACGTCTATTCAGGTTTGCCGGAGTTTGCCTATCCTTCTGAGGGTGATAGGACAGGACGGGCCCCCAACTACCCTCCAATATACCCAAACCATAAGGGCTCCATTAAGGGTAGTTGGGCACAAAGTTTCGGGATCGGCAGTGGGGTTTTGCGTTTTGACACGTTCCAGTGCATCGATCATGTTCGGACTTGTCCGCATATGCCCCAAACCACCTAAAAGGTCACAACTGGCTATTGGTGACCAGCATTTTCAATGAGGAATGAGCCTCGAGAAGTGAGTGTGAACCTTTCAATGGGCAACATGACGGAACAAAGCAAGAAGAATGCCATGGAAACTTCATGGAACGTCGTTGTTGTCAATAGCTTACATATGCATCAGCTTACAAATATAGGGGCCTCAGTAAATTATGACAGTGTTTGCGGGTATACTATATAACCTATAACTAGAATAAGGAACCCCCAAAACCCTATTCTGATTTATTAAGGCTCATTGGGCACGGCCCCCGCCTGTCATAGAACTGAGTGTACTCACACGAGCGCATAGAGTGAGCAACGTGTTTTCCAGCTAGTTTAAGTTCCTTAGCAGGAACCCGGCAAAGAGCGAAGACGTAAGGCATTGCCCTTATGTCGGGACAACCACGACGTCAACGACAACAACGACTGCTCCGCAGGTGGGAGGTTCTGAAAATTCGGCCGGTCTTCGTCATTGGGGGTACTCAGAAACGAACCTGGATATGAGTTGTAGCACTGACGTTTTCGATGCTAAGGTACCTTTCTGAACGAGACTGAACATCACAACAGAGAAGAAGACAAGACTTGACGATATCAACAATACCCATGAATAATCAGACAAGTCATCATGAGAACCACGCGGTATTCGAGAGCTGTCCAGGAGGCCCCCGGCATGTATTTCCGAGTCTTTGGGGGTGGCTTCCGGCTGCCCCGTTGATGCGCAAGAGCTTCGAACAAGGACTGTCCAGGGACGGGGTTGCCCAAACTTTGGGGCCTTGGGAGCTTTAGGGTTTCATAGTTTTTATATGTGTTTTCAGAGTTGCGCATGTTGAGCTTCAGGGCTTCTTTCTATGGTTGGGGGTTCTATAATTTTTCGGGGTTTAGTGCTTTAGAGCTTGGGGCATTCAGCAACGACAAGTTAGAGGCCTGTCCTACAAAGGTCTTGACAAATCACGACTCCATGCAGAATGTGTCTTGATGCTCGACTGGCTACGTGGATTTCTTAGGGTGGGTTAGCGCGATGTCCGTGAACTATCCTACGGCTTACATGTTAAATCCTCAACCTGACTTCAACCGAGAAGCGTCATTGCCTGAATCTCCCTTAATTTAGAGCTTGCTGCAGGCTCTTGAATGCATCCGCCCTCTGCTGTGAACTCGAGACTCTTGTGCGGGCTTCGCTCCTGCACCGAAGAACCTAAAGGGAACTCCAGAAAGTTGGAATATGGTTTCATGGTAGGATACCCTATAATTTACCTTAAAGGGGTTACGATAATCGTATTCCAACTTTCTGGCTTTTACTGTACATTCGGTTTCAGTGCAGGTCTCAGGGTGAAAGTCTAGATTCTTTGAGGGTTCGAGGTTCCAAACACGTGTATTCAATATAGTCTTTAGGTAGTCAATCCCTTGGCGAGGTACCCAGAGATTCCAATACCCCTAATTAAGGAATATACCTTAAGTTATAGAGGCCTTAATACTATGATTTAAGGTATATTCCTTAATTAAGGGGTATTGGGATCTCTGGGTAATCTCGGGGGTCTGTTTGGACTTTTACGGCCGCTGGCTACCACTGGAATGGAGAGTCCTCGCATTTGGCTTGTGGGGGACTTAGACTTACGAGCTTCCGGCACAGGCTCAAGCTTTCATCGTTTCAGGTATAGGTTTGAAGCCGAAAAACCTACGTTTTTGATGACTTGTATTATAGGAAACCACAATAAGGAGCCTTGAAAAGGTAGGTATTTTGGGGTCGACAGTCTACAGGTGCGGGGGCCCACAAGGGTCATGGCGAATTCAGTGCCCAAAACAAAGTGCGGGCAGCTACGTGCACTGTACAGATCCGATAATTCGGAGTCCTTGAGCCATCATCCTAGTGCTTCTGGGGTTTAGGGTGGAAGCCTTCTGGCTCGAAGCTTAAACTGTCCTTAGAGGTTCATTCGCACAGCTATAACTAGGGTTATAAGTAGGGCAACGATAGTTATAAGCCGAATTAAGGGACTTATAAGTCCACTTATAGCTACCCATGAGCCTCCAAGTAGAGGTTTGGGCTTCAGGTTCATGGTGAACTGATTGGGACTTGGTGCTAAACCCCCCGAAGCAGCCTGTTTGTCTTGGCTCCTCCTCTTGTGCTTAACGGGCGTGCTAGCTGCAATGCTTGCTCGTAAGTTCGCCAGTAAACCGCCAGCGCGGAACAATAAGCGCCAAACCCCAAACCCCCCAAACCTAAACTTAAAGACCCTAAGACCCTAAACTCCAAACCCTTGAACACTAAACCACTAACCCTCCAAACCCCTAAACCCTAAAGACCCTAAGCTCCAATCTCCTAAATCCCAAACCCTAAACCCCAAACCCAGAAACCCTGTCAGACCGGAGTGGGATTGAGGGCTTACTGCAGGGATTATCGGCATGAATAGGAAGAAGTGAAACCCGCGGTTCTTTTTCCAGTGCTTGATCTGGCATCTCTGGTTACACGTTGCCGTTTTTTGGCTAGTGCGCCCTCGGAACTCACTACAGTAGGAGCAACTGGGTTACCAAATCTCGTACTATGTTGAGTAGAACATGATCCAACTATCTCCTGTCTGTATAGTCTAGCAGGCACCGCACAACAACGCCTGTGTACATCTTGACTCTCACGGCCTGCACATAGTTCTGCATTTTCTGGTTTGCATAGTCATCACTTCACTAAACAAGCATAGCGGCGGTAGCGGTTATCATATGGCACGGCATCATCATCCTGTTCATGCTCCATGCTACCCATTTCGCGTAACCAACAATTAATGTTGCCTTTGTCTTCAGTTTTGCCCTGGCGCTTGCTGTTACCCGGCTTACCCTGACCCCACCCTTGCCTTTACCTGCACCTTCATGCTGTCCTCTGCCTCGCCCTGCCCTCGCCTTACTTCTCCGCCGTCATGGCCCTTTCCTCCTTGCTGCTGCCTTGCTTCATCTTCCCTCAAACCTTAGGAGGGCGAGACGCACCGTTTGGACTTGTGGTTGCTTGTAGACGATCGTCACACACGCGCAGCAGAAGCATCGCCACGACCGCTAGCACTGGTAATTCGCATTTGTGTGGCTACAAATTTTGCGACGCAGCTTGTCAGATGCTGCCTGTCGCCGAGTTTTTCGAGCGCATGAGAAGGACATGCCAGTGACCTGACTGACTGTAAATTAGTAAACCGTCATCATATGTGAACTGATACTCAAGTTTAGCAGGGAGCTAAACCATGATATTCAGTGTTGTGTCTGGTGTGGAAGTGGCACTGCCCGGTTTTTGCGCGCGAGCCGATTGACGGCGTCTTAAAGCAGTTGCCTATCACTCGGTGCTTATGTGCAGTGCTCACTGTGAGCAGTGACACCTGGCTTCTTCGAACTGGAGAAGGAAGCTTCCGGGTTTCTAAGCAAAGCTTTCGGGGGACTACTAATATTGATAGCAATACTAATAGTAAGACTAAGACGAAAAGCAATAATACTATGAACAATAACAACAAATAGTAATAAAGATACTCATAATACTGATGATGATCCGGGGAAGGCCTGTAAGGGTGAAGGACAGTGTAAAGGTTTAAGGGTGAGGGTTTCGGCCTGGGTGTGGCTGTTTCTTCAATATCTTTACCACCACTTAGCAACCCTTTTTGTTGACTCTGGCCTTGGGTCTTTTTTGGCAGGGGGGTGTTTAGAGATGAGTGTTTTGGGGGGTCGATACCGGAACAAGGGCGTGTTCGCACCCGCCACTTAATGCTCTGAAGTTGTGCTAGATCCGTCTGGTCCTTCTTGCGGCTAGCAGCTAGCATTGTTCCTTTGTAAACCCTAGTACAAGATCAACGCCGTAGGGTCTGCCGCAGATTTGAAACACCTGACCCTGAACGAGCTTATCGAGTTCGTTCCTTGCGTACAAGCCCCCCAAGCCGGCAGACTGACTGTAGAATCTACAGCCGAATCCTGTCGCAAATCAATCCTAGTGCACCCCAAGGCTTCTCTCCTTGGTAAAGAATCCCCAACCCGGAACACCTCCATGGAGAAGTAGAAAAAGAACCACCAGCAGAAGTTGACGTGTTGCTTCCTATCAACTCTTCCATGCTTGAGGGATCAGAATAGTTAGTAACGGTATCCACTTCTGCTCCCAACATAAGCTATAAAGGTCCGCAATGCCCAGTTCTATTCTTAAGACCCCGATGATGGTATTCATTCAGCGCTTCTCTCCTTCGGCAACCTTACACCTCGAAGCTTGTCTGAAGACTATGGCGCATGTACCTTCTTAGCCATTGCTTAAACCTCTCCCAAAACTGCGCAAAGCTCACACTCCTTGAAGCGCCTCATCCTTACCCCACTGAAATCATGAAGACCCTATGTCCTTGATGAAGGGTTCGGAGGGCGAACGGTTGCAAGCGGGGTTTACGGGCTGAGATTTTCGGGACCCTGAAAACTTAAATTTGCCTTAATTTTTGTTAGAGCATTTGGGAACCCTTAATCCATCTAACACATTCTAAACCTTCGCAACCGCCAGGCAAAACTTCCTTTGGCACCGGCACCCGGAGATGCTCCGGAGCAACGGACAAGAGGCCGAGAAATCCGATTCGGGTTCCGGAACTTTTAGGGTGTAGGGTTTATTTGGCTCTCGGGATGATGTCGATTAAAGCAGCGATCAAACGAGAAATTCCTGTTTTTCTGTGAAGAGAAACCTTAAGAACTGATCTTGGCAATTATTCAGACCCGTATGTTCCCAAATGGGCCCAACCTACGCTGAGCCTCAGGCTTGAGGATGCTAACGGTACTTACAGGGTGCCTATAGGGCCGTGAACCGTGACCGCTACCTCCTAGACCCCAAACCCCGGAAGCCTGAGAAATGCGCCCAAACCCCTCCAACAAAGTCCTGAGCCTCAACGTGAGCTGAAGCTTAAGCGCCGAAGGGTGGTACCTCAACTAGCAAGCTATTGCAAGCAAGATCAAGGCATGGATGGCAGAGCCGTAGCGCAAGGTTCACAATATAATACGTCACTATCAGCTGTTGATACCCTCCACCACACAAGGCCTGAACCCCAACTTCGTAGCACTGACCCATGTGTTTGGTGCATTCTTTGGAACCGGAAGTCCTGACTTTGGATCTGGCACACCCTGCAAAACTCCGGAACGAAATTCTTAGAGTGATCTTCTCGCCAGACCGAACAATAGGGCCATACGACAACTATGGAGATCCTGTCACCACCATCACAGTCGAGACATCATCATCATCATCATCGTCACGACCAACTGCGAGAGAAGAATGCCACTATCATCATCATCATCATCATCATCATCGTCGCCATCACCACCGCCGCCATCATCAGCTAGCTTCTTCTACAGCTTTGCGTTTTTCTTGGTTGCAGCCATAATCTAAAGCCGCCCTGGCCAGCCACTGAGCTCTCGGCTGATGCGAAGCGGTCTCGAGGCTGTCTGTTACATAACTAATATGGGGGAGGGGGATACTGTACGGGTTTAGTACAGGGCGTTGAATGTCAGCATGGGGTTTGGGGCATGTTTTCTGTTCCTCTGAGGGAAGGGGCTTCAGGTTTTCGGGCTGAGGGTTGCCTTTCTTGTGGCGTTAGGCCCGATATAGGCTTGTGCCCTAAGAACTACGCTGAGGCTTCGAGGCTTGCAGTTTAAGCTGTCCAGTCGTTTTGCAAGTGCGTGGTTTGGACGCTGCGGCCTTGGGGGTGCCACGAGGCTTGAGTCATCGCAGCCCAAGTGATCCCCAAACGTTTGTTATACGGGCAGCTCTATAGTCGATTTATGCTGTGCACGGCCACCACCACCATCATCAGCAGCAGCACCAGCGGCAACAGCAGCCGCACATCCTCTCCGCCGGCCGACCAACAATAAAATCTTAAACATGTAATCTTCGTTGCGAGCCAAGTTCAGACCATGCAATGTTTGCACCTGGCAACAAGATCCAGCGTCGTATGTGATGTGAGATCAGGATTAAGAGGTTGGGCGCTTGGTTGGTTATAAGAGTCCACCAGAGGTAGAATTGACATACAAGAGCGCAAGCAACAGTACAGCGCCATCGAGAACATCAGCGATACCAATGGCAATGCTAGCCACGACGACCCTGGAAAGTGACGCACGTTCCAAGCGAGACACCGCCAACTGCTGCACGAGCTGCTGTCCCAAAGGTCCTTCCATCCCCCTAGCCAAGCGCCTTGGCACAGTCAAGTGCCTAATTACCACCGACACTGCAGGTCCTTCTCATAGGGTTGGGGCTCGGGATTGGAAGGTGTTTGATCATATCCCTCATCTCCGCTCCGCCCAAGAACGACCATCACAGCCTGTGCAGTGCAGGTTCCGGCTGACTGGTTCTCGAAGCCTCCCGGCGTTGCTGGGGCCCCAAGCACTTGATGCATGCCTTAATGCTTCTTAATGGGCCATACCAGAAGCGTGCCGACCCGTTTTGGCCGCGTCCTGAATCCGAAGTCAGGGAGCATGTGACGTTTGAAAGTGACGCATTGCCAACGATGGCAGGTGCCGTTGTTCAATCCTTCTCTGCGTGGGGCTTACACCAGCTGCTGTAGCTTCGCAATGTGCCAGCCTGCCCAGCAGTTCAAGTTGCACCCACGTGCTGCTACAGCATATATCCGCAAGCATTCGGCCTTACGGTGAGTCCATTCCATTGTGCTCCACATCATGTCGGAACCAGGTTCTCTTCGCGACCCTTGTTGCTCATATCTCACGTCACAGTCCAGTTAACTTGTATTCAAAACGCTTCAAGAGCAGACCTGCAGAAAGGACTCTTCTTGGCAAGCTCCCCTAAAGCCGTGCAGAAAAACCGTAAACCGCAAGCCCCACACCCTGATGCTTCGGGTTTTAAACCCTACACATTAACCCCAAACACTAAGCCCCTAAAGCCCAAACCCTGACCCCCAAACCTTAAACCCAAGAGGCGTTCAAAAAAAAAAAAAACCTTAAACCCAAGGCTGAGCTTGGAGGATGGATCGATCTTGGCGGTGATGCGCATGTCTAATGGGTCCGTCGCCTAGCACCGAAGTTAATTGGAGGTTGGTCGTGTTAAAACTTAGGGTTTATGGTTCCAGGTTTTTGGAGTAATGAGGTGTCGGTTATCAGCGAGCATGCTTCTGGTTGATATTGGGATAGAAGCATTGACATAGTATTGCCGATATGGCTGTGATCTGATGAACAGGGGCGAGGGGTCTTCGAAATGGAAAATGTCCAATCCTGTTGGGCAGGAATGGGCTTCTACCGCCAAATGCTTGCATGGTCTGCATTTCCGCTTAACAATCAGGGGTCGTCTCATCGGGCAACAGAAGACCAGTTCGTGCAGCTATGTCGAAGCACATTGAATTGATAGTGGCGCTTAAGATATTGCGGCAGCGGCCATTTTTTTGAGGAGTTTATACACTGGTGTTCCAGTAAAGGGAACTCCAGAAAGTTGGAATATGGATTAATGGTAGGATCCCCTATAATTTTCCTTAAAGGGGTTACGATAATGATATTCCAACTTTCTGGTTTCTACTGTAGGTGTAATTTTCCGCCAGAGCCGGATTGAGACGATATCACAATTTTCTGCTTGTCTCCCCGATCCGACGCTGTGGCCCGGGTATGGGAATGTCCTGTGTTGATCATCTCGGGATGCAGAACGCGCCTGCTGTGTAGTCTTGTGGGAGACGAAAGCCGTAAAGTCAGTGTCAAGCGATAGACCTGAAGCCATACCCACCAATGTCCCTTATAGTGCTACTCAATGTCATGTAATATGACAGCCCTATAGCGTGATATGACATAATACAGTGGTCCGTACGCTATACTAGTATAGTTTTCATAGAACTCCCATGTAAGGAAACCCTGAACCCTAAATCTTTGACCCTTCACCCCGAACCTGAACGCCAAATCCTGAAACCCTACACCCCATACCCACTGCTGAACCCTGAACCCCGAGCCCTAAACCCCAAACCCGAAGTCTAAACCCTGAACCCTGTTTGTTTATTTGGGTGGCTGTCAAAATTAAGGTCCCTTTTTGGGTCCTTCATATATCACGGCACCTATGATTTAGGCTACCCAAAACGGGACCATAATTTTGACAACTACAGGGGTACCTTATTTTGGGGGGTCCATATAATGAGGATCCTACTATTTAGGGTGCTATATTAAGGTTCCCTATTGTCGGAAACTCCGATATTGCACTCCGCACCCTAAACCGAAAATAGGGGACCCTAATTTTGACAACATATTTAGGACCCTTATTATAAGGACCCCAAAATAGGGTACCCCCATTTTCGGAAACTCCCATTTGTCAACCGTCAAGCTCCCACCCGACTCCCGGGAGGCCTGGCTGCCCGAGCTTGCGAGTGTCCAGGGAGTCCTGCTGCTGCCTCGCTGGGCTACGGTTGACGATATCTCCTTTAAAGGGATCTATAAGGGTACCTTTAAGGGATCTATGAGGGTTTAGGGTATAAGGTTGATGATATAAATCCTGCATTACCTTAAGGACCCTAAACTATGGGAATTATGGTATGTTCCTTATTATGGGTAATGCAGGATTTATATCATCAACCATAGGGGGGTGGGGCGGGGGCGGAGGGGGGTAGGGCCCAGGTAGGTTTTAGTGTTTAGGGTTTCAGGATTTGGGGTTTAGGGTCAGGGTTTCGGGGGAGGGTAGGTTTGGATTGGGGTTTAGCGTTGTGTTGTGTCGCTCCTAAGAGCTTTGTAGGTATTGCAGTACTTGTTGCATTTATTTCCGCAGCTTTGTAGAATAAGGGTTTATAGAGTTTTGCAGCCGACATTGCGCCCCTCAAGATAATGATTTGGGGCTTTAGTAATTCGAGGAGGGTGTCTGGGCAGGTTATACAATAGAACTTTAATTAGCCGTAAAATAGGACCCTAAGGAATCATATCGGTAATTATTCAACCCCCAACCCAACACCTTAGGAAGGATAGGCATCTGCATGTTGGGGCCCTAAAACATTACCCTATTCTAATTATTGAGACCCCTACATTACCAAGTGGGGCCCTTGCTTCCTAGGCATGGACACCAGGATCTTCCACAATGCGCTGGTCCTAGTCGCGGCCTAAGAGCGTCGGCTCCCCTCTTAGGGCTTCAGCTTTTGGGTGTAGGGGTGACTTAGAGGATCATGGGACTTAGTAAGTCAGGTTATAAGTACCTTAACTGGGGTTATAAGTAGTTATAAGTACAGTTACCCTAATTATAACCCTAGCTACTATGTAAGTCCCATGATCCTTTAAGTAGGGGGTTTAGGGGCTTTTAAGGTTAAGGGTGTATAGTTAGAGAGTAAGGAGTAATTAAGGCTTTGGGAGCAAAATTTAAGCACGGTGGAGGGCCTTGGGGCTCGGGGTTTGGGGACAGATACTACTATTTGCCTTAAGAAACACCCAAAAAATAAAGATAATAATCCCTATATTACCCCCATATGGAATAGATTTTTTATTTTTTGGGGGTTCTTAAGCAAATAGTAGGATAGTTCGAAGTGGGATTAGGAGAGTGCGGTTGAGGAGATGAGCCTTCTGCCCTCCCAGAAGCCCTACGAATCTTTGTAGACATGACCTGGCATCAAGTACGTGGGAATTAGGTTTCGGAGGGGAGTTAGGGCTTGGATTTCGATGGGTGAGGCTCAAGGCTCAGAGGTGTTCAGAAGCATGGAGAGTTGTTTTTGAATGTGTTGTCCGGGTCAATACCCTCGTCGATGTTACGATACTTGCAAGTTGCTCAATTCATGAAGTTGCTCCTTAACCCAAATATTTGCAGGCGCAGCTGGATTCGAACCTGACTGTGCAGAGCCATGTCGTGGTGGACGTACCAGAGCTGCCGGCGCCCTGGCGATTCAAACGTCCGCCATCATGATATCCATCATGATTATCACAAGCAAGCAATATGAGAGCATGCAATTCGAGTTTGCTCCGACTGTCGAGACTCTCCCACATCACGGAATCAGCCGCCATGCCTCCAGCCTCCGACAGCTTAAACGGCTTCTTAGGCATGTGTTCCTTGACCTGAACAGTCGCTTGGGGTCGAGAGACTAGTCAACAGTCCCTTGCGATTTCTTGTGCAGCATGTTCAATGTTCAATGCCGTCGGTGTCATGGTGGTCGCCACGACCATCATCATCAGCATCATCATCATCTTGTTCACAGCCATGATCGTCGGCGTCATCGTCACCATCATCATGACAATTATCGTTATCACAGTCATCACCGTGGTCATCGTCCGGTGTTCGGAAATCGCATGTCCGCAGACGCCCCGAATTAGTGCAAGTCACGTCTAGAGACCCTTCAAGAGACGAGTGCACCCTGCCTAGGACATGCCGCTTCACTCCGGACGTGGAGGCACTCACGCCCTAAACCCTGAACCGTAAACCTTCGCGGATATGGAAGTAAATCAACAACCAAGCACATAAGCTAAATGAAGAAGCAAACAACCGTTTAGCTGTTAACAGATACGTAGAGAGATAAACGGTGACAGATACCCGAATATGTATCTACTCTATGTGTGAGTATATATATATATATATGTAGAAAGAGCATGCATTCAAATCCCCAAGTATAGACCCTACGACCTGGATTCTAACTTTCATTGCCTGAAAAACCGGGACACCCTTGCTTTCGGAAGCCCTCTCTTTTTGAGGGTCTTGGGGTCGTTCGGAGAAAACGAGACTCGGGGGTTCAGATGTCAAGCTCAGGGTTGGGAAGGCGGGGTTTAAGATTCAGAGTGCGGCTCTCCCAGCCGAGATTTATGAATTCTTTTGTTATGGCGTTTGGTGTTTGTTCTAAGTGATTTGCTGTGTGTATATATGTGTATGTATATATATGTATATATATACATATATATATATACATATATGTAGGGTTTCGGCACTACCGACAACACTCACGAACCACGTCAGGAGGGTCTATCCACATTGGAAGACCCTTCTTGCAAGCCCAAGCACAGTGACGCTGGGCTGGAGTTTAACCACTCAAGCGCCTTGAGATCCCGATGGGAAGCCCTAAACCGCTGAGGCCCTAGACCCTAGGGTTTATTGTATAGGTAAGCTGCGCATCACAAGCAAAGCTAAGTCGGCTTCTTCATGGGCGCTTGAGAACAGCTTGGTTTCTTAGGGGTTGTAGGTTGTGGGTGAGGGGTTGTTTACTCCGGTCTAGGCATGCTGTTTAGAGCAACTCCTAGCGCGGATTCGAATGTTCATTCGGAGCGTGCAGAGCGACTCCCGGAGCCAACAAGGCCACCTTTTCAACAGCTTCAACAATATGGGCAGTTCTCTAGTATAGGATTCCTTTTTAGGCCACCAAAATAGTCCTTATAAAAAAGAAGATCCTAACAAGGGTCCCTGATTTAGCGAACTACCCATATGGCGCACCGCCAAAGCTTCATGAAGGTGAGGCTACTACAGACTGCTTACGCTCTTGATGCCTTCGAACAGTTTCTTGTCACTGGCCTCCGAAAAGCCCAACCCTAAACCTAAATGAAAACCCTACACCCTGTAACAAAAAACCCTTAACCCAAAGCCCAGATCTGGGCATCAGACACCACAGCGCCAACCCCAGAAACGCTTCTTGAAACCCTGAGGCCCTATATGGCCCCATAGCAGAATTCAGAGAGATCGCTTACAGAACGCTCGAGTAGTTCTCCTTTACTTGGAGGTTCATGGGTAGTTATAAGTAGGTCAGTAGGTTTATAAGTAGGGTAGCTATAGTTATACCCCATATTAGGGGACTTATAACTCCATTTATAACTACCCATGAACCTCCAAGTAAGGCTGCAGCTTTCGGAGGTCAGCGGGCGCCGCTTCCTCGACGAGGTTCACCCTTAGTCCGACCCTTCGGTGGATGGCTGAGACAGTTGGCCCACAACTTTCAGGGCTGATGCCTCTGTAACTGTATCTTTTTAGCGCATTTATACTCTGTAGCAGCACTGTAGGGCGTTTATCAGGATTTGCGCAGGGCTTTGTGGAGTTTTCATACATGTTGAAATAGGTCTCGAGAAGGTTTCCAGTAGAAATTCTTTGTGGAGCCTGACACCTGACTTTGCTCATGGCATGGCAGCTTGTGAAGTTGACACCCGTAGTCTCCAACCTAGCAGTGCCCAGCTCGGAGAAGAAAACTCGTTTGCATCAGCAAAGACTCACCACCAACAATGACCGAGACCTTTTTGCCTACAGCCAAACTGGCTCGTTGACAAGCATGATGCGGCGTCGTGTTTCTTGGAACATGGAGCCCAGACCGTACCGTAGGAGTAAGCCGGAGGCGAAAATGGGAGTATCCCTTGTATCAACCCTCGTAGCATCTCTTGTAGTATCCCTTACCGACATATCGTGTCCCTCATCGCAACCCTTGTAGAATTCCTTATATAGTATCCCATTTTGTGACCGTTGTATTCACTTCCAGTCTCTTTCTGACCCCGGGGCCCCCCGGTCCACAGGTGCACGGCCCCATGGACGCGCGACAGGCCCTCAGGTAAGCAAGATCTCCCCCCTCAGATTCTGGTGGATGTCAGATGGCAGAGTGCGGCATCTCATATCGTTTCAAGCATGCATCGTTTCTTGGATGCATGGTGTGCCCCTGAACCCTTAAACCCTGAACCGAGTGCAACTCAGAGCTCTTCACTGACCTGAGGCATCGGCAAAGGCGCAGACGGCGAAATGTGGCTTGGCAGACGTATTTCTGCATCACAGCAGGGCACGTGTCAACTTCTGCAAAGGTCCGAAAGGTGTCAAAACTGCTAGTGCTATTACACATGTCGTTCTCCTTCCGTTCGGACTCCTCGCTACAGATGGGGGTTTCTACGGCACCTTATTCTGGGGTCCTTATATATATATATATATAATAAGGATCCTACTATTCAGGATACTACATTAGGGTCCCCTCTCGATTCACCTGACAGTTTAGCACAGCAAGACCTTCACGTCTTTCTCCGAAACCTACGGGCTGAGACTTGAACACCTTTGGATTCTGGGTCCGGGCTGCCTACAGTAAACCTTAAACCCAAAACCCCGAAACCCTAAACCTCAAACCCTAAACCCTGAAACCCTAAACCCTAAAAGCCTGAAGCCCTAAACCCGGCGCCGAGAGTGGCGTTGTTGTGAGAAAGATTGGTGAGGTGGATCTTCTTCTATGCTGAGCGCAACGGTGAGAACAACGAGGCTGGGCTCAACTTTTGGGCTTAGGGTTTTAGGGTTTTAGGGTTTAGCGTTAACTGGCAAGCTGCTGGGAAAGTGACGCAGGGTAGTAGGGTAGAGGGGCCTTAGCAAATAGAATAGGGTTTGGGGGCCCAATATACTATAGTTAAAGTAAGGAACCCCCTAGAACAGTGTTGGTAATTATTTAGGCCCATTCCTTATAGGGCATTAGGGCTTAGGGTTTTCCGGCGTTGGTGCCGGAATGTTGAGGGCTTATCTGTCTCCATTGTAGTTCCTTTTTGTTGGTTAACGATTTTGTATTTAGGGTCCTATAAGGTAACCCAGCAAAAGAACTACAATGCAGACTATAGGCAGGGTAAATCTGAACCTGGTCATGACACCTACAGATCCTAAAGCCTAAGCGAATGTTGCTGCAGAAACTGGGCCATCGTGGCTGTGGATGCATTTATATAGGAGTGATGTCCTGTTACAGTCCCTGGATTGACTACATTGACACTACCTGGCAGAACATATCAGCACCCTTTAATCGTAAAGACCCCAAACTAGACACTGGAGTAACCCTTGCAGGAACCCTGTTCCTAATTAGGGCCCATAAGAACCATACTACATTGAGCTCCCATCTCCTTCCCAAACTTTGGGCCTTCATTCCTGACTGACTTCCAACCCCGGAACATCTAAGCCCTGAAGCTTAATTAACCCCTAAACCCAACCCCCTGAAGAAAGAGCCAGTGCACTTAAAAAGAAACACCCCCCCCCTCCACCCTGTGCGAGGCCTTGCGTGGCATGCATGCAGCACCTCTGCGCGTAAGCTGGCGAGCCTGCAGACCTGGCCCCTCCCCCGGCCCATTACGAAAGCGACATGAGGCAGAGTAGATCCGCTTCTGTGCATCAGATCAAGTGAGCTGCACTGTTTTGCTATGTCTCGGTTGCATTTGTCGCTGTTGGTTTAGTTGCCAGCTTAAGTTTACCAAATGCCGAATGCGTTTTGCTCTTTAGCAATCTTGCCTCCACGCCAGCGTAATCTCTCTCTGTCCTTCCTCTCCTCCTGGCTCTTCTAAACATGAAGCCAGCAGTTGGCACGAACCAGCTGACTTACTCCAGTCTTTGATCAAGTGCACTCTGGGAGCTGTACAGGGAGCCTGCGACTTGGGTTTCCTGCAAGGGCTACAGAGTCTATATAAGACCTGCTATCAAAATTAGAATGACCCTACCCCAAAGCAAGCTATTCTAAGTATAACACCCTAAACCCTAAACCACTCAGCGCTGGTATAGCAGCTCCCAGGCTGGACTTTTCATCGAGATGGAGCTGCTGAGATGCACTTTGCAAGGGTTTTTCCGTGCACGTCTTCTCCAGGTGAGGGTTGGAGCTCGGGCAGAATAGCCCTAAAACCTCTGCGGAAACCCTGAACCCGAAATGTTGGGCTTCTTTTCAGGAGCAAAGGGCTTACATACTCGGGCTTCTTTTCAGGAGCAAAGGGCTTACAGATTCAAGGGCTGCGTGTGGTGTTTTGTGGACTGAGGATGATGGCTTACTCAACTTGTCAACATCACAGCCGGATTCCATCGGGTTCATGAAGTAATGTTTAAAACCGGGCTCCTTGATAATTAGGTTTCAAGCCGTTCAGTTAGACTTGAAGTGCTAGCATTGTGCGTTTCGCGAGAGGCATTGACATTTGAGGCTCAACAGCCTGCTTGGAGGTTCGTGGATAGTTTATAAGTGCGGTATGGGTTATAACTATAATACCAGCTATAGTAATCCTTCTTAGGGGGGCTGGATGGATGCGGGGGGGGGAGGGGTGGCTGAATGGAGTGTGTGGCTGCCCATGAACCTCCAAGTATTTCGGCAACCAGATAGTATGCTTTCTCAGATCATTTCGGCTTGGCCACGCTACTATACATACTAAAGGCCTTCTGAAACTCGCGCGTGCGGTTAGGAAGATCTCGGGACCTACAGTGTCCCTTACCCGAAGGTACCCTATGATCCTTGCTTTGCGCCATTTTGCAGCTCGTGGGAAGGCCTTTTCTTCGGAAGACTGCCCGTGGAAAGGCCCAGCCAGGGGATTAGGTTTCAGGGTTGTCGGTTGCCTTTCACAGGCTTTCCCGCTTTTGGTATCCAGCCCTCTCGGTGTTTGCTTCAGTTTGGCCGGGATGCTCGATGCTACTGCTAGGATTTGGGATCAGAAGTGGTTGTGGCCAAGGATCGATGTATGTAATTCTGTTGGAAGAGTTGTAAGAACGCGGGCAGGGCAGTGACGCCAGCTGGAGCCAGCAGAAGTTATGAGAGCGACGGGAGAAAACAACACAAGTTTCACAAGAAACTCGAATGGAAGCCTCTTTCCCGAGCCCGACCTACGGCATCAGGCAGAACTGCACAAGGCTTGCCGCCGGCAAAGAGCGAACCTGCCTACACAAATGGAAATCTTGATGTCGTACTGCACTGCTAATGAAGCAAGCTAGATCGGTTACACACGAAATGCAGTGCTGGGTGGGAGCGTCACATATCTAAAGCTCCTATAGAGAAGGATTCGAAGCTCAAATGGTAGTCATCTTACCATGTTGTTCCTTCCTCCCGCATGGCAGGGTCTGGTGACAGCAGATCTATCCAGACTTGCCGGAGTTCCTGCGATGCTGCGAGGGCCTCGGCAGGAGTGTTTGAGATAGTACAAACTAGTCGCCGTAGTGGCATCAGCCGCAGCAGGTCTTGTAGTCGTGGCTTCAACACTTTTGATGCTCCTGCGGTATTAATACGGAGAGTTTCCGCGGCCACTAATCGCCGTAGCAGTAGCAGTAGTAGGTAATCGTCGTAGTCGTCGTAGTCGTCGTCGTCTTGGAATTCGTAGAAGGCGTCTTCATAGCCGTCTTCCTCGTGGTGGCCGTCGTCGCGCTTGTCGTAGATGGAAGTTCTGTCAGGAAGGTTTTGGTGCGCTTCCACGCCAATGCCACACCGAGTAGAAATGCAATTACGCGAAGTCATAGTAGGAAAGAGTCCTAAGCCCTATCCCAAACCATAATCTCACAATAACATAATGATGGCCGCACCCTAAATTTCCTAGCAGCCTCAAACCCGCAAGCCGAAAGCATGTCCCAGCAACACCATGGCACAATCTCTATAAACCCGAAAGGTGCCTGAAACCCAACACCCCAACCCTGAACCCTAAACTATACTCCAGCAGTACAACTATTCAAACACTTTCAATCTTCGTCACAACCCAATCACAAGAATACGACCCACACCCCACACCCTAAACAAGGCCCTCAACCATGCCCTAAAAATGTGCCCAGTCAAAGTAACCCCCAAACCATCCTAAACCCCTAAACCCTGACCCCCGAAACCTAAAACCCTAAACCCGCTCTCCCAAAGAATGATAGCAGTGCCCTTGGGCCTTGAATCTGAGCTGTGAGTGCTGGAGGCCGGGGACTGCAACGCGGTCAGCTACAAACCCGAAGATCCAGGAGGGGGGGTTTAGGGGTGTAAGGGTTTAGGATTTAGGGTTTGGGAGTTTAGGGTTTAGGGGTGTAGGGTTTAGGAGTTTAGGGTTTAGGGGCTACAGGCCCGAAGATCCAGGAGAAGACTTTAGGGTTTAGGGGCTGGAAGCCCGAAGATCCAGGAGTGGGTTTCATAAGCGTTCCTTGGGTTCTTGTAGTGCTTTGTTTATGCCGGGGCACTATGGCACGTTTGGATCGTTTCGTGCTACAGGGATTTCAGAGAATCTTCTTGTAAGCCAGTTTTGTGTAGAGGGGCCTCCAGAGTTTTACAGAAGTGCCCAAAAACCGCAAATACGCCCAGGCGTTGAGCCTGAACCATGTAAGGCTTACCTATAGTCTCCATTGTACTTCCCTTTTCTGGGTTATATACCTTGTCGGATCCTAAGTACAGAAGTGGTTAAACCAAGAAAAGGAACTGCAATGGAGACTGTAGGTAAGGCCCCAAACCTGAACCCCCAAGCCCTAAACCCTAAACCTCTAAACCCTAAACCCTAAACCCCAAACCCCTAAACCCTAAACCCCTAAACCTGAACCCCCAAGCCCGACAAAACACACTGAGAAGGAAGCAGCCTGGGGGGCAGCTGCGAGCTGCGGTACTGCCAGGAAGGCCGGGGGCCTCCTACTTGGAGGTTTAGGGTTTAGGGCTAGAAGGGGCCCCCACCCTGTAATAGTGACTATAAGGACTATATATATAGATATATATATATATATTTTTTTTTAGGGCCCTATTATAATACTCCTATTATACCACTACTACAGGGTGGGGCCCTTCCAAGTTTAGGGTTTAGAGGTTCTTGGGGAATTACAAGTGGGGTTACAAGTCCCTTAATATGGTGTATAACATGGTATCAAGATAGTTACCCAACTAAAAGCCCCACTTATGACTACCCATGAAACTCCGAGGAGAGGAGAGGGCGGCTCCTGGTGTGTTTTAGAGACCGTTAGGGTTGGGATTTAGAGTTTTGGATAGGTTGTGCATAGGAAGTTGAGAGTCTATAAGAGTCTATACCGTAGGGTTTGGGGATGGTGAGGTTTCGTGTCGTTCAGACTCGAGCTCAAGACGTCCGACACATAGTTACCGTTACCAACGCCGTTTTTGATATCAACTGCAGGATACAACCTGCGCCTTAATGTCAACGTACTCGTATTGTTCGTCATCATCTTCTCATCTTTTCGGTTATCGCATCACCACCACCATCGCCGCCCCCACCACCACCACCGCCGCCGCCACCACCACCACCACCACCACCACCACCACCACCACCACCACCACCACCACCACCACCACCACCACCATCAGTATCAGAACCAGCACCACAACTTCAACCATCAGCGGCATCATCATCAGTAGCAGCATCAACGGTGGTGCAACTGCGATTACCACGACAATCGCCGACAGCGTACGCATAGGCATCTGGCTGCCGACCCAGGTCAGGAAATGGAATCCTGGATCATCGTCATCGGGGGTCAGCACAATCGTTGTCATATACACCTCACCACCGGTGCCGACACTTGTGTTCCCGTCTTCTCCAGCCGGGAGCGGGCGGTAGGCAGGAAGGTAGGTAGGTACACATAGCAGAGGAATGGGTAGGGATAGGCGCGGGGGTAGTTAAGGTCCTTGTAGGTGTCTGCGATATTGGTTAGAATATATATATATATATATATATATATATATATATATACGTGTATATGTATGTTTATAATATGCGTGTGCGCTTGTCCTTGTATGTGTCGGCATGAATACAGTGGATATGCTTTCGTAACTTATTGTGTTTGCATGTGTTGTTACGCTCCGTACTAATACACACAAACCTGCACAGACAGATACATATACAAGTATGTGCAGACTTATGCACTCATGATGTATGGAGGGAGAGACACAGAAACCAGAAAGGAGATATTAGCCGCACGAGAGAGATAGAGTGAACCGTAAGCCGAAGCGCTAACCCCTAAACCCTTAAACCCTATAAACCCCAAACCCCTAAACCCCTAAGCCCTTTAAACCCAGTCCCGACCTCTGTGGACGCACTTGTCGCCAGGCTTGACGCAAGGTACGAAGAACAGCCCTGCCGCAGCCTGGCCATGTGATAGTAGTATTGAGATAGTCTCGTACTACTGTAGTATTGCTACAGGAATTTTGTTAGTATTACTACATCGATTAGCATCATTGCAAAGCGTTCTAGTCTCATTATAGTACTAGAAAGCTTCGCTGGATATGGATCAGGGATGCCACGAACGCAGAGCGACCCCCAGACCCTGGGATTTGGTCTTGAGCGTTGAGAGTCTTAGGTTGTTGGGACTGTTGGGGTTCAAGGGTGTAGAGGGTTTGGCTTTTAGGGTTTAGGGTTTATTGACCGAGGGATTTTGGTTTTAGAACTTTTTTGGAGTGTAGGCGTAGGGTTCCAGGTCCCACTCTGCAAGTAGTCGCTTTGCGAGCAAGTGGCACTCTGAAGAATCCGAAGCCCGCTGCATGCGCGCAACACCCTGGGACATGAGGACTTGGTGGGGGCTTGATGATTTGAAAAGGGTTTGGGGATAGCAGTACTTACTACACGGCGAGCCTTTGGTGCGGTCAGTTGCTGCCTCTGTTTCGGTGCAGGCATGAGGTTCCCAGGTGCGCAACCCCAAGCTTTCCTGGTTTACCTCCGATCAATCAGTCTGCACACAGCAAGCACGAAGCCGCCTCCACCGCGTCCGTGAACCCTCTACGCCAAGAGCCCTCCCTAATTCTCTGATGGCGATACAGTCCCTGGCAGTCAACAGCCCTAAACCCCGCTTGCATCGGAAGCATTCGCAAATCTTGTAACCTGGGAGCTCAACACCCTAAGAACCCAAAACCCGAACCATTGCCGCGACCCCAACTGGGTTCTTGTTACGGGATTTATTTTACGTTACCATAACAGGGATCTATGCTAAATAATATCGTTTCCTTATTATGGTAACTTAAGTTACGTGACATTCCTCCACAAGAACCCAGGCAAGTCTCCAACCCTGAAACAGAAACTTTCAGCCATCAAACCATCCGGTCTAAGACCTCAACCGTGAACCCTAAACCACCAAGTCGGGTGTCGGGTTTCGGGTCATGGGTTCAGCTGAAACCGTAAACTTGCTATGAGTCCTTATGGTTCCTCATTACAGTTGTGGTATAATATACCCCGGCAACCTGTTCTAACTAATGCGGCCCTATACGTAATGTACTGCAAACCATCGAAGGTCATAGAAATGCCAAAATGGCAAGCTTGGCTGCGAAGGCCCCAGGTGCATGGGGAGCGGTGAGGGCGGGCAGTTATGGTGTAAGGATCGAAGGGTTTAAGGGTTCAGGTTGTAAGGGTGGAGGGTTCAGGGGCTACGGATTTACATAGGGCTGGGGGCGAAATCGGGGGGGGGCGCGTGCTTACTTAGTAAGGGGGTTGTAGGCCAGCCTCAATTAGGCCATGTCTTAGTCTGCTTACAAACCAGGGCAGCTTGAGACAATGCTGGGATTAGTCTGATATACGGGTCTGGGCGATGCCGCGCTGCTCCTTGAAGGCCGTACATACCGGAATCGCGGTTAGAATCCGCAAGCCGAGTCCCGGTTCTTTTACCTTTGCAACCAGACCGGGATGCCAACTGCTTAAATTTTAATTTTCCCTGCAAGAAACACAAACACACTTCAGCAGAGGATGGGAACTTGTTTTCCTCGCAGTCATGCTAATGCCGATGGCTCTAGCGTGCCCTGACGCAATCCTAGCTAGATCGGGGATGTGGCCCACGGCAGTCTCTTGGAAACTTCAGGGAGTCTGAGGGCTTACAACCCTCATGGATAGGAAGGTTTGGATATGGGAGTTTCCGAAATTAGGGGTACCTTCTTCTGGGGTTCTTTTTATAAGGATCCTACTATTTAGGGTACTATATTAGGGTACCCTATTTTCGGAAACTCCCATATGAGCTCGACATGGTATACTCCTTAGATTTGGGCTCCGGCATCGGGTTGTTTTGGCTAAAGGGTTTGGGCAGAGGCGGCTACCCTATTCAGGAGGACCAGAGCAACCCCAAGCAATGCGTCATCTTGGGTTTCGTTTTTTTTCGTATCTGGTGCCTGTTAAGCTGAGCATGCAACTACAACATTACGACGGATGATGTTTTAGCATAAGTCGACCTGTGCGGACGAGCTATGAAGATGATCATGAATCCATGAAACGATGGTCATGGCGATGATGATGAAGATGATAACGATGATGATGGACGGTGATGGTGACGGTGTTCATTCTGCTGACGACAGCGAGCATGCGTTGATCAGATCAGACCGCAGGTCTTAAACTGGCTTCTGCCTAAAACAAGGCTTTCTGTTACATTGCGGTGGGATTTGGGAGTTTCCGAACATAGGGGACCCCAATATAGTGCCCTAAATAGTAGGATCCTTCTTATAAGGACCCCCAAAACATGGTGCCCCTAATTTTCGGAAACTCGAATTTGTTCAGGTGCAGCGTTGGCGGCGCCGCTGCCTCAGTGTGCGAAATCTTTCTTTCAACCCAGCGATCTTCAGAACAAACCCCGAACTATGGTTGATGATACGAACCCTGCATTACCTTAAGGACCCTAGACTATGGGAATTATAGTACATTCCTCATGATGATTTGTATCATCAACCGTACTGAGTTGAGGCTTAACCCCAAACCTACAACTACAACCCAAGACCCAGTTTGCTTGCATGCTTCCATTTCCTCCTTCACGAGGTTTGTGGTCTTGAGAGCATACAGATGTATAAAGGAGTGCACAATAACATTCAGCTGCATAGACAAGAATATTTTACTGCATCAGCGGTTACGTACACCAATGTGCACTGCCCACGTAATCAGTGGATTTCTGGGATTGCCAGTTTGTTTTGTGGCCAGAGCGGCAAAACGGACAGGACTTCAAAGTCAAGGCACGGCTTCAGCTGCTCAGGTACATGGCACAGTGTAACGAATGTATACTTCAGAATCGTCAGAATACGTTTCTGTATAGTCTTTTGTGCCGCAACAAGATGGTGAATGACATGAGTTCGTCGGGCGCTCTTCTTTCTGTAAGCCTCTGGTCTTTAAACCTGTGTGTACGTTCTAACGTTGGCTTTGCTGCTTGTGCAGGCGGCAAGGCAGTGCTGTTTTGCGCAATTTGGTTTCCTTATTCGTGTTTCCTGCGGGCTCTCGGTTCAGCAGAGTCTCCAAGCAGTTGCAAATCGCTGTATCCCTTGAGAGAGGAGTTTATTTAGGGCGGTAAGAGCTCGTCAGATCTGAACATACCGAAGGCCGGTGCCAGACCTCAAAATGGCTTCAACGGCACTGACATGACAGCCCCTACATGGTTGTATGTAGGATTGCTCACTGTATCATAATCTACCTCCCTCCGTTTTCGGCAAGAATGGAGATTGCTTTTTCTGTTCATCCCCCCTTTTCCATAAAAAATGAGAATCCTTTTTCTACATACCACAGCCCCCATAACATTGCTCCTTAAACCCCTTGCAAACCCTATACCCCGAACCCTACCATGTGTCCCTGTCCTCGTTGCCCAGCTTCACGCTTCGCGAAGGCTCGCCCGCATGCACTGGAGGCTGGCTGGGGAATGGCCGGAGCCTCAGCACCGGGTACTTGGAGGTTCATGGGTAGTTATAAATGGTGTTATAAGTCCCCTAATATGGGTAATGACTATAGTTCCCTTACCTATAACCCCACTTTTATAACTACCCATGAACCTCCAAGCATTTGTGACGAGTTTAGGGGTTTAGGGTTGGGTGTAGAATGTATGGAGCTGATTGAGGGTGTATTGATAGATAGATAGGTACGTAGGGTCGGCAAACAGGTAGACAGATTAGAAGGTAGGCAGACAAGAGCTTAATTGATTTGACCGGTTGGCTTGATGGAGTTGAGTGGAGATAGACCATAAACCCTATAAACCTCTAAGATATTCTAAGATGCCTGCAGGTGATGCCACGAATCTGCCAACCTGCAGGCGGAGCTGCGAGGCAGGGACCTGCTGTCGTCCGTAAGATGTCGAAGTTCGGGGTTTAGGGGTTGGGCTTTGGTGATTCGTGCTTTGGATGCGGAGTTTTTCGGAGTTCGATCTTTGGGATGTCTGAGTGGGCGGGGCGCAAGTCCCTTTGACTGCTTTGTGTGGCCTTTTTGACTGGGGAGCGCCTGTGGAATATTCCCAAAGGGCCCTATGTACTGTTATGGGGAAGACTTCCCCAAATCATAATAGTAATTCCGAATATAGAAACGCTACATTCTACCAGATTCTACCATATCGGTACTTTGGACCCTTTGGGATTGCAACACTCGTACACCCAATGAGCATAGAACTTGGAGGAGCCCCTCTCAACAGTCGCGAAACAGGTCTCGACCTCATTGCTCTGGCAGCCTCGTCGGAATCTGTTTCGAAGCAGCACCAAAAGCAGCTCCTGCCGTCGGACTCGGGAGAAGTGCACAGTTCACGCACCTCATATATTAGTACGGAGCTTCAATGCAGACCCCTCTGAAAACTCTCATGAAAACCCCACCCTATCCTAAACTTATCCCTAAACTCCTAAACCCTAAACCCCTAAACTCCTAAACCCTAAACCCCCAACTCTAAAGCTCAAGAAGTCACACCGAAGGAGCTTGGAGCTTGCAACGCCATCCTTTTCTCGTCGGAGACCTGGCAGGTTGCCCCGAGCATCTTACCTGATGGAAGTTTGCTTCCTTGATGCACCCCTCCTCTCAGAGGCTCTCAACTCAGACAATACCCACGATCTAGCCACAGGTTGATCATGGAGCTCAAAGCTTGGATTTACTTCTAAAGCACCGCATTGTCCTATGTCTATCTCAACCTAGTAGCTGAGTGGATACACTTTACACTTTTTGGGATAGTATTACCCACTATAAAACTTAAAGTTTATACTTTTGGGGGCTTATGAACTCAGCCACTAGGTCAAAAGTGTACTTCCAGGTCTGGAATGCGTCTTTGCGTGCTGCAGCGCTGCAGCGAACCAAGCAAGGACGCGGCAGAAGGCTGAAGCTTCGAGTTTAATCCTCACCCGCAATATTGGAGTTTCCGAAAACAGGGGACCCTAATATAGTAACCTAAATGGTAGGAGCCTTATGATGAGGACCCCCAGAAAAGGTATCCCTAAATGGTAGGAGCCTTATTTGGAGGACCCCCAAATAAGGTAGCCCTAATTTTCGGAAACTCCCATATAACCAATTTAGGAGCGTGCATAATTTCAACAGGTTGGTGGGCACATATCCTAAGGAAGAGTATGGTATTTATCCAGGCCCCTCTATCGAGCACCAGATAGATGGTCGAAGTTTGAATGATAGTTGATAGGTGGCAACACGTGCTGGCACCACATTTTGATATGTACGTTAGTGTGCATGCTTGGGTATGTAGCCATATAGCATTTGCTAGTTGGTGTGAAGTGAAGTCTTCAGTGCATACTGTATGCTCCGAATTAAGCCATTAAGCATGCCACGCAATCGGACTCGCCTAACCCATAAGCAAGATCTATCTCTTTATCTCCCTTTTTCTCTCGGTGTCTCTCGCTGGCTCGTGCTCTCTCTCTCTCTCTCTCTCTCTCTCTCTCTCTCTCTCTCTTTCTCTATCTTTCTCTCCTTCTGTCTTGTTTTCAAGCACTTTCTACGTCTAACCATGTGGACATGGTTACATTGTATACATACATGTGTGCATATATACATATACATATATATATATATATACATACGAATATGCACAATTACACATGTATACATACATGTGCGCACTTGTTGGGTGCAGCCGAGTTTCGTTAGCCCCGGTTGGATAGCATTTGTTCCCACATATCATGTAAAGTTGGCTCCGAGCCGGAACTCGATGCTCCACATGCATGCCTAAGCCCTAAACCCTAAACCCCTTGAAGGCCGCAGTGTACACTGCATGGGTACTGGAGCCTTATAGAGTTTGTTTCCACAACCACTTCCTTCCCAAGATACTAGGCTTAGATGTGCACAGCTCGAAAACCTACATAAGCCCTAAGCGAGCGATGTATGGGCCATTCTTTACGGGGTGCGTGGCTCCGGAATCTCGGTAGGGAGACCTGCGTCATCTGTCTTAGCATCTCATGAAGAATATGCTGGTCGGGGTAACTTGTACTAGTATGCCCTCGTCCGTTTAGTAATTACAGTATTAAGCGAGAAGCGGATGCTACAGTACGCAGTACAGCGACTTATTGCCAGGTGCACCACAGTACATTTCATCAGAGTCCCTCTGCCATCGTCATTTGCCTGTAGTTCGCAGACAGCTCCGGTTTCCTCGGTCTTGCCGATTCACAACCCTGGTCCTAAACTGCTGTAAACCTCAATCTGAATCCCTGACTTCCAATATAGAAGCTTGAGTAGTTAGAGACGAAATTCCTTCGGGCTCCTAGTCATAATCATATGATATATTAGTACCCAACACCTTATTCTAATCAGGAAGACAAAGTATCCCAGATTACATGCCTAAACTCTCAGCCCTCGCAGCAAGCCGCTGAAGTTGGCACTCAGATCTGCCTCAGAGTTCTACGATTGATGATATAAATCCTGCCTTACCTTAAGGACCCTAAACTATGGGAATTATGGTATATTCCTTATTATGGGGAATGCAGAATTTATATCATCAAACGTATCTGAGGTCGCTTCGAGCTTCAACTTTAGGCTGCCCTGACGCGGCTTGGATAATGTTTTAAAGCCTTACAAACCCTAAGCCAAAAAGCTCGAAGTTCCGGAAAGCCCGAAAGCACTAATCCACAATAGTAGAAATGATTAAACAGAAGAATATAATAGCCGTTGTATTATTTTATCGCAATAGCAATACTAACAATGCTAATGCTAGTGATTTACGAAAGGCTGGGAAGCCTGGCGCTTACAAGCTGCCGAAGGCGGAGGCCTGCACTGTGCCAATCCAGTTTGCCGTCAGGGGTGCGTGTTGAGGACGGTTGCCAGGGTTTTGGGTCTAATGTAGGGGCCTTCATAATTGCCTATACTGTTTTGAGCGCTCCTTATCATATTTACATTAGGGGGTTAGAGCTTAGGGCTTCAGTGTTGCAATGTTTTTTTGCAAGGCTTTTGTATGATGTCCCAAGAAAGTCTGAGCTTGGCGGCTATTCATTTTTACCTCTACCTAGAACCTTCCTGTGCGATGCTCTTCGTGCTCAGCATCATCATCCTCGGCCCTAAACCCCAAACCTTCGTAAACTTTTCTTATACCCCTTACAGTATTCCCCTTACTGTAAGTATGCGGCTACTGTCTCCCCCGAAACACTAAATCCCTAACCCGATGCAATCCTGTGCAATCACCGATGTGGTATCAAATCGAGCTTTTTTTCGGAGGCAAGAAATGTTTGGGGAGCGCCCGGCTACAGGCCGGCGGAGTTTGGGTTTCCTGGTAAGAGCTCGAGCTTGCAGTGTTGAGGGTTTAGGAGGTCAGGATTTTATACAGAGCTCGGATTTTCAGAGCTTCAGGGCCCGGGGTTTTAGGGCATTTGAGTGTTTTGGGCGGTTGCGGGTCTCAAGATTTGGACTAGTGTTCCAAGCTCGGGTTCCTTCATATAGGGTTGTAAAGACATAGTATAGGGACCTAAATAATTACCAATATTATTTTGGGAGTTTTTCATTATAAATATCGTATAGTGGGCACCAAAACCCTATTCTAATCATCAAGGCCCCATATTAACCACGACATTAGACCATTAGACTTACTGAACCGTTCGCCCGGCACTAGGGGAAAGCCGCCTGAACCCAAAAATGCAAAACAAAAATCCGCAAACCTACACTGGACCCAAAACGCCGAAACTCGAAGCCCCTGAACCCTAAAGCCGATGAGAGCTTCTTTGAGACGTAAAAGGGTACTTCGTTCAACAGGGTTTACGATCAGTTGCTTGGTTTGAATATACGGGTTCAGTGTAGGGCATTTAGTAATTTGAGTAGGGCGTGGGGGGGGATATTTTAGTATGACAACATAGGGGACGCTGGTAGAATAATATGTTGCTATACCAGTACAGACCCGTCTATTCGGGGTCAGAGGGTCTGTAGCAGGTTGGAGGTTTGGGAAGTTCCTGGCTTTGGGAGGGAGGTTCAGGAAATTTTTTGAACCTAAACTACGCGCTTCAATGGGAGTGGATGAGCCGCGGTACCTCACCTCAGTCCAAGCCCAGCCGCTTGAGGCCTCCCTGCAATTTGCCATTTGTGCAAGACTTCGAGTGAAGAGTCCTTTGCAATTACGATTTCCGCCGTGAGTTCAAGCCATAGACCCTAAACCCCTGAACCCTAAACCTTTAGAGTTCGGGGTCCCTAGCGGCTTAACCTTTAGAGTGTGGTTTTGGGATCCCTGGTTCCCGGCTAGACGCTACAAGGAACGGGGGAGCTCCGTACAGTTCTGCCAGAAATGAGGTCTCAGGGTTTTGGGTTCCTAGAAAGGGTTCCTATAAGGATTGCACAAGCGCTCTATAAGAAGGGAATTCAGAGTCTGAGGAGGTTGCGTTTAAGGGTTGCGTAAGGGCTCTGTAGCAGGGGATAGCAGGGGTCTTCTCAAAGTTTCCAGGGTTTTGCGGAATTCCAGGCGACCGAGCTGATCGTTTTTCCCTCGGCGTCTGGAGTGGTCTGCAAGACACGCTTGGCAATGGGTTAGGGTACTGCGGTTTGAACTTTTCGGGTGGATGGTGGCATAAGAGGCGGCTTCCATGAGAAGCCTAGCATATGCAAATCCAGTTCCTAGGCTCCTGTCTCAGCCGGCTGTTCCTTCGACAATCATGAATCGCCCGAGAGTAAGGATGCTTCAAGCCGTTGCACATGCTTTTGCAGCTTGCGCGCGGAACGGGACATAGGTATTCGGTGTCTGTGCTCGTTTGAAGGGTCTGTAATGAAGTAGCAAGGGTAAATGTGCAAACTTTACTAGCCTCTGCTGTTGTTGTAAAGCCTTGCGCTTGGCGGCGTTGACGGCCCCCTGTGAGCAAAGCAAAGAGATTTGAGATGCAGGTTCGGAGTTCTGAGCTGGTGCCGTAACCCTGATAGCATCCTTACTTCAGTAACCCTACTAGACCATGAGTATGCAAAGGCATTTATGCGCCGAAACTCTGTGAATGCAAGCGTCCGAAGCTTTTGAGACTCCAAAGGAATGACAATATGGACTCAAAACTATGGGGTTGAGGAGCGGTTAGGGCCTCGGGGGTTCACTTAGGGTCTGAAAATGTTTGGAGTTTGGGGATGGGTGTTTGGGGTGGGGTAATATTTGCCGGGCTGGGGGGTTAAACCCCAAAAGCCTGTCGCCAGGAGAAGAACTGGAACCTCATCCACGGTGATCGGGATCGCTTGTACATCGAGTACTTCATCGAACCGCACATAGTGCAGGGCACCAAGACTATGTTCGCTTGCACTCCACGACCGATTTGATCAAAGCCACCTCCTAAATTTGAGACTGGGAGTCTCATAAGAAGGCTTGAATATTGTTGTCAGGTGGCTTACCTCTGTGACTACGCCTAAGACTACCATGACTACTCGTAAGCGATAAGCCTTTACTGCTACTACGATTACCACCCATGCTTTCCAGTGGACTCTTTCCTTCTGGTTTACCAGCTTCTTCCTTCAGGATTTTCACCGTGTTGACCATGAACATGGTATGGGAAACACATTAGAGTCATTAGAGTCGATAAGTAGACCCATACCCCAACCCCAAGCCCTGAACCTTAGGGGTCAAACAGTGAAGCTCAAGGATTACCGGCTTTAGGTTCCTGGGTTTGCTGGGTTATAGGTATTCCTACACCTAAAAAGTTGCCGAGGATCGAAGCGAAGCTTCAGCGCGCAGATGGCCTGCCAGGCCGTACGTTCCTTGGGGACGGGGGGGGGAGAGGTTCTTGACATGGAACTATCTAGGGGCGAATTATTATTGGGTTTTTTGTACGTTGGAACCCAAAGCCATCAAATGCCGTAGACGTTATCCAGAAGGTATGGCGTTACAGCGCATGCAAAGCCCGACTACAAGCCCTTTGAGCCCGTGTGAAAACCTGGTGACCCTAGTCAGACCTATTGAGATACTGTTGAACCCCATACAAATTAAGCCGTGCCATTCGTGCACAGAGCCTTTTGAAGCCCCCTGAACTATAACCTAATGAAACCTGTGGTAAAAACAGACATCAAAACCGCAGGAATTCCTTTAAACGTAACAAATCCTAAACCTGGAAACCCTAAACTCCTAAGCCTTAAACCCCCAAACCTGAAACCCTCAACACCTAAACCCCGAAAGCCCCAAACCCCTAAGCCCTAAACCCCTAAACCGGAAACCTTAAACCCTAAATCCCTTAAAGCTTTAAACCCCTAAACACCTAAACCGGAAACCTTAAACCCTAAATCCCTTGAAGCTTTAACCCCTAAACCCCGAAGCCAAGAGGCCTGCAGCTAGCAAGCTTCGAGGAGCGCTTCGTTTCGCGCTGGCCCTATGAGGCTGGCTTTGAGCGTTTACCATAGCGTTTTCGGGGACCTTAAAGGACTGCTATAGGGGACCTTAAGGGACTACTATAGGGGACCTTAAGGGACTACTATAGGGGACCTTAAGGGACTACTATAGGGGACCTTAAGGGACTATAAGGTGCCTCAAAGGACTATATAAGGGACCTTGAGGGACTGTCATAGCGTTTTAGGGGCTGTTCAGGGTGTGGTAGGGTGTGTTGGTGTGTGTTGGGGGTGGTGGGGGGTGTTGGGGGTTAGGGTGTTTGGAGTTTTTGAACCCTTCACCCTAAACCCTAAACCCTAAGGGGTTGAGGGTGTGTTCGGCGGTGTGGGGGGTCCCGGGGTTAAATGATGGGCTCTACTCGGGTTCTCCCAGTCTTCCCAAGTTGCTTGGGGGTTTCGGGTATTTTGGGGTTAAGGGTTATGGCGGTGTTTGGGGTTTGGGGCGCTTGAGGTTTAGAGTTTAGGGTTTGGCTTGCAGGGATTTGGTGTTCGAGGTTTGGGTGTGTGTTTGGGATTCAGTTCTTAGGGTTCTGGTGTCAGGGTGTTTGCGTCAGTTTCCGATCGGAGTTCATGTTGCAGCGCTGACGGACATCTGACTGTAGGGGAGAGGATCAGATGGCGTGGTAAGTAGGTTTGAGTAGGCTTGTAGCTACCATATGTAATTGGAGCTATGCTATTCACAGCCCTATCTATACCCTACTTGCTCAGTCCTCTGATCCGTGAAGAATGGTTTGCCGCCTTCTGTGAGACACTAGTGCAGGGCTTGGGATGTTCCGTGTTTTGGCCCTACCTTCAAAATGGTAATGAAGGTTTGGATCAAACTCTTTTGTTCAGGGTTTTGGGGTTCGGGTAAGTTTGGGGATTTCTCGGCCTGCAGGATTATGGTTGTTTTAGCTTTGTTTCTCATCCTTGCTTGTCACCGGAACATGGAGGCACATCCTCGTGTGCAGGGTTCTTTCAGCCCACATGTACAACGGACGATAACTATAAGTTTAGACAAGAGTAAAGACTAAGGCAAGTAACTGAACTCACACAGGTTGTTTGCTCTTGCCGTCAGGTGCTGCATGGAGTCACCAACGTGCGAGGCACACCTCCCGCCACGGCTGTTAAGGACTTCATGGCAACTTCAGCTTTGGGACACAATTATGAGTCCTGTTTCGCGGAATCCATAGGAGGCTCGACCGCGGATAGTTGCATGCCAGCGAGATGCGCGCCTTTTGCTGCTGCCTACGCATGTCAGCAGCATCTGAGTTTCGGAACCCGAGTCCTTCTTTATTTACAAGTGCTCGTTCGAACGTCCACATATCACAGACTACGAGCCTCGAGAGCTGCTAAGATTATCATTCCCCTGGTTCCCTGTTTCCATGCCGAAGCGACAAGAACCCTCCTTCACACGGTCGTCGAATGCTTGAGAAGTGACCTTCGGCAGAATCTCTTCGACCCTAATAGTGGGTCTTTGGGTTAAGGTCAACCCTGAGCGGTCCTGACCGCGGTGCCTTCCAGGGTCCCCCACCTGGGCAGCAAAACGAAGGAGCGCAGCAAATGCTGCGAGTACAAGGTGTCTTGTGTTGGAGGTATGTCCCAATCCCTGGTGTTCCTATACCTCACGATTTTCAAAAAGAGCCCCACAGAATATTCTTGCAAAGGTGGCTTTTGTTGCCTTTCGTTGCCGTCTGCGATGCGGGAGCACGTCGCCTCCGACGATGTCTGGTGGGCAGGGCTCTGGGTTTGAACTAAGTATTATGAGTCTTATGTATCATTGTGGAGCCTTAACACCATAGTTGACACCCGAGACTGCTCTTTCGTGTAAGGGTGGCAGGCTTGAGTGTCATGTTCGCAGACGTTCGCACCCCCTGGCAAGCTCGAGAACTCCCATGTTGTCGATGTTGTTCAGGTTTTGCGAGCCATCTAGATTTGACATTGGGAAGCAGCTCAAAGCCACATTCGTAGTTGTTGCAAGGTGCTCCGTGTTGTTGATGTTGAAGACAAGTTCTAAAGCTTAGTCATGTCATTTAGTGATGCTCCCTTTCGACCACTCTCAACCGACTAATCTGCGGAGCACGAGATTCCTGCAACACCCTTTCAGCACTCCAGCTCTTTGTGGCGACTCCCTTCCTGGAGTTTAGGGTTCAGGGTGTAGGGTTCAGATTCTTGGAAGCTTGCTAGTTGAGAGCTGAAGCTCCTGGAAGCGCTTGTATGTAGGATCAGGTGTTCTTCCCAGTGGTGTGCTGTCACTGAAACGCACTCGTTCCCGACCATAGCATGCAAACTCCTGTATTAACCCTACGGCCACTGCTTGGAGCCGTTCTACTGCGCAGGGCCACAGAGAATCTGGAGACTTTACCCAGTCTTCCTGAAGGCGTGTGGCTGCGTATCGGGTTCAGGAAAGTTATACAGAGCTTGGGGGCGCTTGGCTGTTTGTGCGTCTTACAGTGTTTACAGTTTAATAAGGTTTTGCATTGCAGCAGTATCTTCTTCAGGTTAGATGACGAACTTTTCGACATTTCTCGTCAACGTGATTCCGCTGCATTCTTCCGAAAAGGGATAGAAAAGCAGATTACTTGTTGACCCTCTTCAGAGTGATATTCATCATCCCTCCAAAGCTTCAGGGGCAAAGTCCGGAATTACAGCTTCTAGGGGTTCCTTTAAAGGGCTCCTCTATAGCTGAGGGATCTACAGGGGTTCCTTTAAAGGGCTCCTTTAGGGCCACGGGATCTACTGGGCTCTCCAGAAAAGAGCGGGTTCGGCAGATCGACGGCTAAGCCCTGGCTTTGGAGCTGCTTCGGGGTTGTCTAGGAGTGCGTGTGCATGTGGGCGGTTGTCAAAATTAGGGTCCCTTCTCGGGTCCCTATTACGATACGGTACCTAATGTACCCAAAAAGGGGCCATAATTTTGACAACCACCCACATTCATACATTACATACATACGTACATACGTACATACAGACACACATACACATGCGCATCTACATATACATACAATTATACATGCGGGTATCTGTATGTATATGTGTACGTGTATGCATATGTATATGCATATGCATATGTCTACGTATATGCGAAAGTATGTATGTATGGATGGACGGATGTATAAGCATACACATAGCCATCGACAAATACATGTGTATATATCTATTCATACACATATGTATACACACACATGTACATATATCTATGTATATATATATATATATATATATATATTTCTTTATATTTTTATACACACATGTCCACACATGAACAGGTTTGGGGTTGAGGGGTTGGGCTTAGGGTTGACGGTTTGGGTGAGTTTATGGCAGAGTTGGGCAAGGGCTTCGGTGCCGAACGCGTTTAGACTTGCGGTTCTGAGTTTATGGACTTGCTATTGACAAGCTTGAAGGGCTCAACACTTTTCTTGGAAGCTTCCTTCTAGCCCGAACGCGTTGATCTCCAACAAGTGATAAGGCCCACGACCGAGCCCTCACTGGGCGGCTACGGGACCCAAAAAAGGGGCCTTAATGATTAGAAAATATGGTTTTGGCGTATCTTATACCATAACTATCATAGGCTATAGGGAACCCCCAAAATAGTATAGGTAATTCTTGAGGCCCCTACATAGTCTGCAGATTGTAAGGAAAAACTGGGGGAAGTTCTACTTATTGAAGCCTATACACCTTCAACTCGAACATCGGAATGTCGATGATGTTTCGAGCCCTGTAGGTGTAAGATGCTGCAAGTATCACAGAAAACCCAAAACCCTGTTGACTCATACTCCCTTTACCATCTCGGCCTATATCCTCCAAGCGCGGAGAAGCCAAAAAAACCAGCCCGCAAATCCCAGGCCCAAAATCTGCGAACCACCCATCCCGACTCAACCCCAATCCTCAAACGCGCAATCCTCCAACCCAAAGACAAAGCCTCAGACGTTTCACGCAGACGAAACGAAGAGCTTCTAAAATACAGGATTTTGAATACTGAATAACCTGAACCCTAAACCCTAATACCCGTAACCCTAATACCCTAAACCCGAATACCCTGCTCCAATAAACCGTTAAGACCCCTGCATTCGAGCTTCAGGGCCTCAGAGTTGATTTCAGTTGGTTTCAGGCTTCAGGGTTGAGAAGATTGCGTCTGGGGTTGACTGGGGTTGGGGGGGTTCCAGGCTGAAGGTTCGATGCTTTGATGTGTTCTTTAGAGGTCTGTTGGCTTAGGAAAATTATGGGGTTTAAGAAACTTGTAGGGTTTAGGGTTTTAAGGTTTTTGTTGCTAAACCCTCAACCCTGAATGCAATCTCACATCTCTTTGTCCTTCTCCCAAACTCCACGTTCCCCTAAATCCAGCTGCTGCCCCATGCTGCTAGTAGGATCCCCTTATAGTCCCCGTACATGAAACCCTACTCTAATTCTCAAGGCCCCTAAATTATAGACCCTACGCACTGAACTTTTGGACCCCAGACCCGAAACTTGTCAGGCAATCTTCTCCTGGGCGCTGGTCACCTGCAGCGCATCCGGCAACCTTTCGACCAGGCAGTCATGATCAAATGTGCCAAACCGACTTAAGCCATCTTCGTTTTCAGGGATTTGTATGTGCTTGCAGTCCAGGGTCCTTGTGTTTAGGCAGCCCCATTACTGGGGCCGGGCGCTCTTGCACCGGTGATGACCTGTAAGTTCACAGCAGAAGCCTCCTAGCAGGCTCCGGGTGACGTCAGCCGTTTCCGGCGGCAAGCCAAGAGTCGCGCGTGGCCGACTCGCTTTGATACATGTCACTAGAAGTGTCAGGTGAATCTTGCAGGGAGAATGCGAAGGATTCATCAGAGAAAGACCTCCAGCATCGGGTAACAAAGTATAAGGACCAGGAGTACGATGGTGGAAAGATGATGATAAAGAAAGCGATGATGAGGCGGACGGGAAGAGACTCAGGACCGGTGTCGGCACGGGCGGTGAGGTGTTATGACAACTGACCCCTGATGGTATCCATGTCCTGACCTCGGTCCGCAGCTAGTTGCAGTGGCACCGACGTTGATGCTGCTGCTGATGATGCTGCTGATGGTTGTAGTTGTGGTGCTGGTCATGATACTGATGCTGGTGCTGCTGGTGCTGCTGGTGGCGTTGGCGGTGGCGGTGGCGGTTGCGGTGATGGTAGTGGCGGCGGCGGGGGTGGTTGGTGCGGCGGCGGTGGTGGTAGTGATGCGATAATTAAGAAGATGGCAAGATGATGACGAAAAGTACCAGTACGTTGACATTACGGTGCAGGTTTTAACCTGCAAAGCCTGCAAATGATAAAAGGGTACTCGTAGCGGTAACTGTTGTTGTTGGTGGTGACGGCGTGATAATGAGTAAGATGAGAACGTGGTAAGGACGAAGATGAGAAGATGATGACGAACGCCCCGGAACCAGGTGGCGGATCCCCCGAAAGCCAACCGCTAAGCTCCAAACCCTTTGGACGGAGCGGAAACCCTAAACGGGTCGTCATTTGACTGAGGCAAGGTTGAGCTGTTAATGTTTTGATCTACGTCAACAGACGTGGGATGTTTGTGCAAGCCTCGTCTCGAGGCCGACCCTTAGACGCAAGGAAAAGGGCATTGCATTTAAAAAAAAACCTAAACCAAAGCCCTAAACCCTGAACCAAAACCCTAAACCCTAAACCAAAACCCTAAACCCTAAACCAAAACCCTAAACTGCCTCAAGCCTCAAACTCTGTGCCGCCAGACCTACCACCAGCAGCTGGCTCAGATCGGAGCACCAGACCATGGCTTTCGTGGTTCGTGGTTTAGACTCAGTTTAGACTTCAAAAAGTAAAAAGGAGTCCAAAAAAAAAGTAAGTTTAGACTTCGGGGGGTTTAGGGACCTCTCTAGCTGTCTTTGGAGTCTTAGGGCTTGAATGAGATATGGGATTCGTAGCATGGCTTTGCTTTCGCAGGCATGTAGTCGTGCGAGTCCGGGCCTTTTGCACCTTGTGTGCAAACAAGATTGGTTTCATGACTTGTCTGAAGCGAGTGAAAAACCACATTTTCATGACAAATTATGAGTTTCGTTCTCTTGAATTTCTCCCTCTCTCTCTCTCTCTCTGTCTCTTTCTCTCTCTCGCTCTCCTGCTCGACCTCTCCGAGTGTGTTACACAGAAAAGCTTTAGGGCTGCATGGGTTTTTCACGCCACTTGTGCTGGCAATCACACAGTCTGGCAGCGCAGGAATGCAAGCCATCTCGAGCAGTTTCACCGCATGAGGTTTGTTTCGAAGTAGGGTCCCGATTGCCTATGATTCCAGAGATCGCAGCAACCCATATCCACCTCCATCCAAGTCTCAAACCCGATCTGCATTTCCTCACCAGTAGAGTTCTTTTGTCTGGCTAACTAGTTCGTAGTACAGATGACCCCTATCACAAAATGATCCAAATGGCCACACCCTCAATCCTAGATCCTAAGCCTCAAAACGCCCCCAAAAAGCCTCCCCTAAACCCTGAACCCCAACCACTCAACCCTACACCCCAAGGCCCTGAACCCTTGAGGTTCTTCTACCTGCTCCGGGCCACGGAGCCCTTCGACGTAGTGGCCGTGTCGCCGGAATGGTGCCCCAGGGTTCAGGGCCTTTAGGGGTTAGGGCTTTAGTTTTGAGGGCCTTTTGAGTTCTAGGTTTCCGGGTTAGGGTTTCGGGAGGGTGCTTTTGGGGTTTAGGGCGACTTTAGGTGTCCAGGGTAGGGTTTAGGGTCCGGTAAGTAGGCAGATGCGATTCCCGGCTGCCTCTCAACCTTTCTGATTGATTCTCTTCGCAGAGTCATAAGGGTGGTTGTCAATATTAGGGTCCCTTTTGGGGGTCTTTATTATAATACGGCACCTAACAAAAAAGGGACAATAATTTTGACAACCACCATAAGCACAGGATTTCAGGTTGCAACCGCTTCACGGGCGACTACGTGGCGACTACTCTGAAGAATGGAACCCTCAAAGGCTTCCCTCGCATCCTTGATGGCAGCTAGCTACGACATGGGTGGTTGTCAATGTTGGGGTTCCTATTTGGGTACCCAAAATAATAGGTGCCGTATTATAATAGGGACCCAAAAAGGGACCATAATTTTGACAACCACATGGATCTTACAGGGCGACGGACGGACCCCTACTCAGCCCGGTCTTCTGGGGCGGAAGCCCCGAGCTCAACTCCGGGGTACTGCCAACCTTAAGCCCAAAAAACCCTAAACCCCAGCCCAAAACCCGAAACCCCAACCCGAAACCCTAAACCCCAACCCTAAGCCGGCAAGGTGCATCACCATCAACGGCCGCTTCAGCCAGCATTGGGCCCAGGCCGGGGACAAAGCATGCCGATGACGAGGATGGGTTTGGTGCTTGATGGACTTTAGAGCAGAGCCCTAAACCCTAAACTTCGAAACGAGGCCCTTAAAAAACACAAAAACCTAAGAAGTTGAAGGAATTTAGGGCAGAGCCCTAAACTCTAAACCCCAAGGGATTGGGCTAGGCTTATGACTTGCAAGGTTGAGTTGCTTTTGGCCAAAAGGTGTTGGACGTTTCCCTCGATAGCGACCTTCGCAGTTGAGCTTGGGTAGCCATGCGTTATCTGGGCAGACTACCCAACTTGGAGTGGCAGAATGTGGGAATATAAGCTAAGGGCCCTAATAAGAATAGGCTTTTGGGGCATATCAAACTGTACTTAGCCCCCCCCCCCCCCCCAAAAAAAAAAAAAAAAAACAGTATAATGTACGAACTTGATTAAGAAACCCTAGGCCTAGCAGGATCCATAGAAGGAGCCCTAATAAAGGCCCAAGGTTTCTTAATCAGGTTCCTACATCAGCACTGATGCCGCGACACTCAGCCTGTAGTAGTCTATGGAGGCATGGAGGTGTACGTGATGTTGACATCGCAGAGTTCTTATGCCTTTGGGATGTTGGATACAGTACTGACGTGCGACAGCTGATAGCACGCTAAACCCTGCTTGGAGGTTCATGAGTTAGGGCGACTATAGTTGCAATCCACAATCCGTATTGGGGGGGGGCTTCTAACTCCGTTTATACCTACCCATCAACCTCCAAGTATACCTTACCTCATAGCAACCCTTATACTAGCCCTTTAAGGATTCCTTTAAGGAACCCTTTTAACAAACCGTTTTGGGAGCCTCAGGTGCTCCAACCCGGTGAGGAGGCACCGGGGTCGAGGGCTGTAAAACTTGAACTAAGGGTTAGGGTTTAGGGTTTAGGGGTTAGGGGTTTGAGGCTCGGGATTTAGGTTCAGGATTACCTAGAGGCTCCATAGTCGTTCCTTTTGGGGGCTCATATTTAGAATCCTATAATGTCATAATCCCAAAAAGGAACTACTATGGAGCCCATGGGTAGGGTTTAGATTGAGATTGGGGTAAGGATTGCGAATTAACTGCCACGGCAGGTGCCCCAGAGAGCAACCTTGGTTTCAATGGCAGGTGTTGCATCGGTTGCTCTTAGGGTTTGGCCTCATGAGGTTTGATTGCACTTTTACCTAGTAGCAGAGTGGGTAACCTTGAACTTAAACTTTTCTGGGGTATCATAACCTCTATATAAAGCCAATGTACTCCCAAAGGTTAACGTTTACAGCTCCTCAGGATACTGAAGTAGCATGAGGGGTCCTTGCGATGCTGGGCGTAGAGACTTTCTGCTGCCTGCTGCTTCTAGAGCCCTTTCCTTGCTACGCTGAACATCATCCTAAACTGCAAACATCTGGGCCCTAAGCCCAACCCTAAACTTCAAACCGAGCATGTCAACGCTCAGGAAGTAGAAGGAAATGATAACAGGATGTATACCTCGTATGTGTAAGCCCCCGATAATTTCCTAATGAAGCAATGATCGGCAAAAAGTTTATCCCTTAACGTCTCTAAATCCTAAACCCTGCATCACATTCCGGCGCCGCAGCCGCATCTCCAAAGCTCGTTTTGCAGGCGTGCGAGTCGATCCAGTTTGTCTCCGGGCTCACGCTGCGGGGAGATGAGGCCAGACAAGCAGTTTGAGGGTTCGGGGGTTTGGGTTTAGGGTGTAGGGTTTAGGGGTTTAGGGTTGCGTGTTCAGGGGCTACGGCATTTAGGGGTTCGTGTTTTGTGGTGTTGTTGGTTTCGGCTTTCGATATGGTTTCTGTTCTTGAATCATGCTCTTGCTGAAGCCTTTTCGAATGCCTGACCTCATCGTCGTGAACAAGTGCAGATTGTCAAGGCGGGGATGCAAGTGGTTTGCTTTTCGGGTCACGGAGTCTAGGGTTTAGGGCCGTTTAGGGTTAAGGTTCCTGAAAATATTGATAGTATTATACACAAAACCCGATTCTCATAATTCCGACCCTGCTGTAACGATCAGGGGGCTGAGTAGGTACAGGTTATAAGTATAGTTATAGTAAGTACGTACCCTAACTGAGGTTATCCTACTTTATTACCCTGTACGAACCTTGTTTCAAATCTACTTAGTAAGTCCCCGAATCCTTTGAGTAGCTTCAAAACCTGAACCCTCTAAAAGCCCAAGGGCCTTACAAATGAGCCTGCGAGGTCGTCGTGGCCTATGGGATCAACGACTGCGAGTCGGACCTGCTGGTGATCCCGGCGGCGACTGCAGGGAGCTGAGGCTTAAGGGTGTGAGTCTCAGGGTTCTTGTTAAGGAACTTAGTTTAAGTTACCATAATAAGGAAACCCTGTTATTTACGATAGATCCCTATTATGGTAACTTAAATTAAGTTCCTTAACAAGAACCCGGGAGTCTCAGGGTGATGGGTTTCTTAAGGTTTCAGGCTTTAGTAAAGGTTTAAGCTTCTGAAGTTTAATGAGGTTCAAGTTTTCGGGTTTAGCAAGGTTTACCTGGACCCTAAGGAACCTACCTTTTTAGGCTCTTCTAATATTAATATGATTTCTCTATATAAGTCCCTAGAAAGGTAGGGTCCTTAGGGTCCAGGTAAGGTATAGGTTTAAGCTTAAGTTTCAGGGCTCAGGGTTCTGAGCCTTGCACCCGCAACTTCGGAACTGAGGTCCGAAAATTGAATGCGAGGGTTCCAGGTTTGAGGCCTATAGGGTTTACCTTGGGTACGGCCCGCACTCAGTAACAGTTGGATAATATTCATAATATAGATATATAAGGCCCTTAGTAGTAGCCCCATTATAGACTGTTACTGTCTGGGGGTCGTACCAAAGGTTTACTTGTAGTCTCCGTTGTAGTTCAGGGCTTTTCAGGTGACCAGGAGTTTATGTAGTGGTTTAGGGTTTTTGGTTTGAGGTCTACCTATAGTCCCCATTGTAGTTCCTTTTCTGGTTTAACAACATTCCTTCCAGGATCCTACAAGATGCCCCCAAAAACAAAGGAACTGCAATGGAGATTGTAGGTAGGTTTTCTCACCCCAAAGCCCTGAACTCCTAGGCCATAAACCCCAACTTCTGTTGCGGCAGCATTGGTTTTCGCAAACCATGCACAGAGCCATTCTCGACTTCGCCCCACAATGTGTTCCCGGACTGTCTCCCAGCACTTGCAATGCCTCCACACCTGGCCTTTCAACATACCTTCCGACGTCCTCATAAGCCTGCATGGGATCCGACGGCTCAGATCGAATATTAGTGCACGCCGCCCGAATGCCTGCCTCCAACCGTTTAGTCTTTCAACATCAAGAGTCGTTGCAGCCACATCGGAATTCGAGCTAGGCTTTGTGTATAAATGTTCAGCTAGTTTCCCCAAGGTGCTTGGCATGTTGCGGCCAGTGGAATCGGACCTGAATGTTTCACTGGACGACATTGAGATGCTTTGATTCGTACAAACTGGTGCACCGACTGTCAGAGTCCCTTGCAGTTTGCACAGTTTGCTGCGTCAGCCCATCGATCCGCTCCTTCTCCTACATCTTTCGTCGGTGCTTGTTTTCATTCGGGATTCGGTAGGTGTGGGACCAAATAGGTGTCGGACCAAACAGGTCCAGCATGAATTGAGGACACTTCGCCTCTGAGATGTTCTGCGTGGCCAATGCGCTCTTTTTCGGTGCACTGTTGCGAAATCCGTCTGCTTGGCCCAAACCGCTCTCGCTGCTCCTGTGCCAGCTTACCGCCGAGGCGCATCCTGAAGCATCTGGTTCAGTGTTTAGGGGAACCCTATGACCCTAAACCGTATAAACCCGAAACCCTAAACCGCCGAATCTGATAAGAAGACCGGAGGGCCTCCTGAACAAGCCTCGCAAGTACTGCAAGCGAGTCGACTGTCAAAGTCAGCATTCTGATGATTCGTGTTATATATATATATATATATATATATATATATATATATATATATATATATATATATATATATATATATATTATACACATATGTAATTACGTGTATATTATACATATATATATATATATATATATATATAGATATACATACATATACATACATATATATGTATATATATATGTACTTATACATATACATATACTTATACATATACATATACATATACACATACACATACACATACACATACACATACATATACATATACATATACTTATACATATACATATACACATACACATACACATACACATACATATACATATACATATACATGTACATTTACATATACATGTACATTGACATATACATATACATATACATATACATATACATGTACATGTACATTTACATATACATGTACATATACATATACATATACATATACATATACATATACATATACACATACACATACATATACATATACACATGCACATGCACATACACATACACATACACATACACATACACATACACATACATATACATATACATATACATATACATATACATATACATATACATATACATATACATATACATACATACATTTTATTGGTGCATATTGTGCTCACGAACAGCATGACTAGTGACTAGTGCCTTTCCCACTGTTCCTGCTGATGCATGAGCTTCGAATTCACGGCAATCCAAGCCCAACAAGTGGAGCTCTGCACCATACCCAGAGACTCCGATATCCCTCAATCAAGGAATATACCTCAAATCAAATTAGGGATCCTACTATAATTTGAGGTATATTCCTTAATTTCGGGATATTGGAGTCTCTGGGTACCCCCGACCTTGAGCTCGACCTTCACTGTCTACATCCTCTACCCAGAGCCCCCGGAGGATCTAGAAAGTAGATCCCCTAATTTGGGGCCCTATACTACTAAGGGTCCTTTATAGGAACCTCGGAGACCGAGGGAATTTTTTCCAGGTTTGAGAAGGGGCGAGAGATTCTCATACCTCCTGTGCGGAACCCAGAGCCAAAAAAGCTCCCTAAACCCCAACTTCGACCCATTATTGGGCCCTTTAGCTCAACAACATCCAGCATCCCAGCTGTTGACAACTGTTCAAGTCGGATTAGCCTTTCAGCTGGCAATAGCTATTGCTATAGTATGGCTTGGGGTTTAGGGGTTGTGGGGCAACTTATGACCGTTGAGGGTTTACAGTTTACAGGGTATCAAGAACAGGAGAATCATTCGCGCCCAAGCACGAAACCGTATCCTGAGACCTACGACAGCTTCGACACTGGAAAGATGCACCTACACTCTGAACCCTACAACCCTGAACCCCCCAAACCCTAAAACCCCAAAGCCTAAACCCCCTAGATCCTACAACTCCTGAACCCCCCAAACCCCAAACTCCTTAGATCCTAAAACCCTAAATCCCCAACCCTAAGCCTCCGACGACACCCTCAACCCTAAACAGTAAAACCCTAAACCCCCTAAACCCCAAAACCCTAAATCCTAAACCTTCAACCTTACACCATAAACCCTAAACTTCCTAAACCGTAAACCGCTAAACCCTAAAACCTTCAACCCTAAAGCCCAAAGCACTCTTTGACTTTGCAGGGCCCCAAAGGGACCAGCGATGATCGGCGGGCTCAATTATGCCAGATCCTCGAGCCTCTCACAGGGGTTTAGGGTTTATCAAAGGGGAGAAGGAGGGACCCTTAATGGGGACCCCTACCCCATAATGGGGCTATATGATGGGTATGTAATAGCTATATTAACGGTATATACCTAGGGGTCCTTATTAAGGGTCCGTCCTTTTACCCTTAGAGTTTAGGGAACCCTAAACCCAGAGGCAATTAGGGCCTAGGGCTGAGGGAACTGTAAGGGATTTAGGGATTTGGGTTTAGGCAACCCAAGACCCTAAACCCTGAAGATCCTTTGTGTTTGGGGTTTAGGGTTTTGCGTTTTGGGTTTGCGGCTTGAGGGTTTGGGAGGGTTTAGGACTTTAGGGTATGAGTTTTGGGGTGTGGGATTCAGTCGAGGGTTCCGTGGTTCGTGACTGTAGGAGAGATGCTATCTGTAGTCTCGGATTGCAGTTAGCAATCGTAGTTTCAATATCAGGGCCAGGTTTCCAGTTCGGTGTGCCCTGGAAGACACAGGTGCAACCCTCGCGAGCTTGAAAAGCCGAGATAGCCCGCGTCCTCTTTCATGTTCCGTCTCTGAGTTTTGCCTCTTTGGGGAGCCTTCCTTACAGAGACTCCCATGCATCATCTGCGCCGTCGGGCCTATTCCAGGTCCGTGGGTCCTGAAAATTCGGCCGCAGCCGTGAGTCGCAGATCGAAGCGATGTTTTCCCAGAGCAAAAACCCCTACGTTGACAAAGAAGCAATCTCTCTAAGTCGGAGCCTCATATATTTTATAGACGTATTTATTTATATTATATATATATATATATATATATCCAGAATTCCAGGATGGAGGCCCTATGCCGCCTGGGCCTCCCATGGGAGTGTCTGCACCTCGGGGCGGTCGGGAGTTCTACCGTGAGAATACCGGAAAGGGAGGTTAGGGTTTAGGGGTTTAGGGTTTAGGGGTTTAGGGTTTAGGGTTTAGGGGTGGGATAGCAGTCTTGTTGTGGCATCTTCTAAGTTTCTGCGAGGCTTTCGCGCAAAGTCTACTGACATGCTCGGGGGACTTAGCAAGCAAGGTCACCTGATCCTTCCAGTACCCAGAGAGGCACTGTACCGCCGCATTAGTTCAGGAGGGGGGCCTGAAATTATGGAGGGGTCCCCAAGATATTACAAAAGTTTCCCATACACAGGTTATTGAGCCCTTTAAAAAAACCACCTGCCCCCCAAGCTAACCTAAACCCTAAACCCTGATTCATGGGCTCTCCACCCGGTATCCTCCAGTCCTGGAGCTTCGAGAAGCCTTGATGAAACCTGAAGCCTGCCCATACCATGAGACCTTTCCGGCCCCTGAGGATAATCATGGAAAAGACTTCCCTAGGCCTTACACCCAAAAAGTCGAGACCCTGAAGCCTAAGCCGTTTGGACTTCGACCTTACATCTCGAATGTTAAGGCGGGAAGGAGGCATGCCTCCGAACGGAGGTGCGCTCTTGGCCACGATGTGGGTTTCAGGATTAGGGCCTATTCAGGGTGCTTGGCTTTGGGGGTGAAGGGTCTCATCAGGGTGCAGAATGTTACGCTCAAGTTTGATCGTTTCCTCGTGCAGCCCTCGAGACATCAGCGTGCAGCTCCATGATAACGACAGCGTGGAATGGAACCGATGATGGCCCACGCCTGAACCCTAAACCCTACACCCATGCAGCTTGGGCAGGTGCCGCCTCTCTTCAGGCTAAGATGAACAGGCCGGCCTGTCCTCACTTTAGAAGTTCCTCTGGGAATCTCTACGCTCTTCCATGCAGGGGCAAAATTCTCAACCCTATACCCCAAAACCCCCAGACTTTAAACCCTCAACCCTAAACTCGTCAGTCATGGGCTTGGTAGAGTGCTCTCATGGCGCAGCTGCAGCTCTCCTCGTAACGGAAGCAGCCACGTGTTCTTGGCTGTGTTAGCAATACTAGCAGTAGCTTAAGAAGTATCCAAAGAACATAAGGAACTCCAACATCTGGATCTTAGATGCTAGGATTCTTGTTGTAAGGAGACTAGACGGGGACCCTCAATTTTCTCGAACCCCAGAGCCTTAAGTGAGTGACGGTCCTGCAGGCAGCGACAGCTGGCGCTGGAGAGGCAGCGTGTGTCTGCCAGGCGCAGTGTCTGCATTCCTAAGCTAACTAGTAGTCACACGGTCCTACCATTCAGGGATCCGCAATTAGGGTCCGTTGTTTTCTGAAATTCCCACATGGTCGTAGCACTTGAGCCTCTTGGTTCTTTTTTCACTGTTATGATGCCAGAAGTCGAGATGCGTGTCTGAGAGTTCTTCGTGGACCGGATGTTGCATGAGCTCACAAATCGTCATCGGAGCAACACCTTCTCTAGGCAGGCGACGGGACACCTGACGTTGCTCTTGGGGTTCAAGGTCTCTAAGGACAGCAAGGCAAGGACATACAAAGCAACTGAAGGTTTTGCCGGACCTTATCTTGGAGTGGAGCCCCTGATTTACAAGGAGGTATCGTCGGGTCCGTAGCAGTCTTGCATCGACTCATGACTCATGTTATAACATAGAACCTATATGTTGTATTCATGGACGTTCGCATTCGGAACCGGCAAGTAGTCACCCAGCGAGGAAGCAACTTGGCGCCGGCGTGATCGCCAGCTCAAACCCCTTGATGCAGAGTTCACCTTTCCGGGCACAGCCGGCTTGTGCTTGAGGGATTTCCAATCACGGATTTGGGCATCTGCTCCGTGCAGCAGCTTGTGGTGATGAGGGTAGCCACTCCTCGATGCCCTCCGTCCTAGAGTATTACTGCTTACTGTTTATTGTTGCGCCCGTCGGAAGCAAAATGGGCTGATGGGCAAGGCTTTGCCAACAATTAGGCACCAGGGTCTACTAGCCGTGCCATTAGCGGGCAACGCTTGACTTTGCTGCAGGGTTGGGCAGTGAGTCACGATAGAACCGTTGGCAGCAACAGTGTGGCGATGCTAGGCAGAGGGGGCAAAAGAGGCCCATTATGTACCCTTTCTCTAGGGAAAATTCCTGAAACTGCAAACATCTCGTAAACCGCCAGCTGCAAACCCCGACGGGGCAAATTGAATGATTGCCCACATTATTCCTTATGGTTCTTTACTATATACCTACAGTAATCAATACCCAAAAAATCCCTTTCTAATCATTAAGATGCCTACAGTACTGTTGTATCGATCACTGAGCTTTATTTCTTGGTTTCAACACCCCTCTCGGCCAAAGTGGTTGTTTAAGTCTGCGGGTGTGTTCCGCGGTTTAGAGTTTAGGGTTTGGGGGCTTAGAGGTTTAGGATTTCGGGTTAAGGATTTCGGGCTTAAACGTAAGCTTTGGGGTTTTTGTTCCCAAACCAAGCCGGAGCTTGGCCGGGAGGTTCTCCTACGCAAGAACAAAATCCGCTTAATTGGATACCGACGATCCGAATCTGGAAGGGCCCCGCCTAAACTATAAACCCTACGCAACCCTAAGCTTTAAAACCCTGTAACCTGAAACCGTAACAAACCCTTAAACCCTAAACAACCTGATTCTACACAGCATGAGATGCCGCCAGGGGGGAGATTGGGATCAGATCGTCCCCGACAAGCATCTCGCTCAGTTGTCAGGGTGCCAGAACATGCCCAAAGGGTCCAAGTACCATTATAGTAGGTACGTAATTGGGCCCCAACAGTATTCTATACCACTACTTGGACCCTTTGGGTTGTCGAACATCCTTGGCTAGAAAATTTAGGAGCTTAAATACTTGGCACTGCTTTTTCCTAGGGATGCTTGTTCTGACGATGATTCTACAATACTTACTATGGTAGACTTCAATTATCAAGGTCCCTATCTTAGCAGTTATAGGGTTTTGGCTTCAGGGATGCTTCTCAAAACCACGCTTCGGTTTCTTCGTGAGAAGTCCTTAGTGAAGGAAGCTTGTAGTTTCGGAATCCGCAAGGATGCGAGGTAGGGAAGAATCAGCTCAACAAGATTTAAACCTTCAATCCTATGCCCTTAGTCCTAAACCATCCTGAATCCTAAATTGGCCCTAATTCCTATACAGCCCCCAACTCAGCAGCTCACGTACGCCCCTGGCTCTGTCCTGAGTTCTGCGCGAACCCCGAAGCTCCCTCAGCCCAACACCTTGAGCCTAAACTCCAAAACCCCCGGGCAAAATGGGAGCTTCGGAAAATTGGGGACACTGAATATATCCGAGATCTGCCACTTGAACCATGAGCCCAAGACCGTAAAACGACTCCATTCGCGAACACTAACCCTGAACCCCTGTGCATTTTGACCCACTGCGTGCAAGCTAGTGATGGTCTCACGTGCCCTGCGTATACCGGAGTCCGTCATGTCAAGTGGTGAACCTAAGCCCTTCCACCCCAAAACAGCCGAGGTTGGGAATATCGCCCAGTGCCAAGAAAGAGACCAGGCCTGCCCTGAGTTTAGATTTGCGGGGCTTTGGGTTTACGGCCGGCTGTAAGGGGTTGCTTGTTTTTGCCTGAGGGCCTTAGTCTTTTAGCATCCTGGGGTTTCAGATCTGGGGGCTTTGATGTCCGGCTTTTTATTGACCCTCATGTTCAGGGATGTGGTAGTCGTTCATCTACAGCTTCTAGATGTGGAGCGAGAAACGGAGTGTCGTAGTGATCGTATCTGCAGTCGTCGTCGTTGTCGTACATAGCGGCATCTGTAGTAGTAGTAGTAGTAGTAGTCGTAGTAGTAGTAGTAGTAGTAGTAGTAGTAGTAGCAGTAGTAGTAGTAGTAGCAGCAGCAGCATTTGTAGTGGGAGCAGTAGTAGCGCAGAACCTGCCGGAGCAGTAACAATCGCAGAAGACTTGATATTTGCAAGTCGGGGGTTTCCGATTATAGGGGACCCTATAAGTCGTATGATCCTAGTTGCGAGGATCCCAACATAAGGTGCCCGTAATTTCGGAAACTCCGAATTCCAACCCTTTGCGTGAGCAGGTCGCCTGGTGACTTCCAGACAGCGCCAAATTCTCCTCAGGATCAGAGGGATTCGGGAAAACCGAAGTGTATACAGGCTCAGATCTTTGTTTCGCACCCTAAACCGAGACCCCAAAACCCTAACAGAGTCGCCTCACATTTAGTTCGGAGCAGGGCCCCGCCAGAAATCCAGAGAGAGGCTCGAAGTGCAAGGCGTGGACGGTGACCTCTTGGGACCATATTATTAACCCAAAGGCTAATTCATGTCGGGGCCTTAAGAATTAGAATAGGGTTTTGGGGCCTGAAGTGCTACATAAGATAATTATAACCAGGAATCACCAAAATAGTGATAATCTTTCCGGCCTCTATATTATACTACACTGCACTACAGTACTGATAGAGATTGGTTTAGGCTATTCACCACTGAGCGTACGAGTAGACACCTCTTAGTTCTGGCTGTGCGGCCGTGGCCCACCAATTGTTGAATGCAGTGTTTGTGCCGCTTTCCGACTGACCCGTTGGCACGTAACCTGCGACTGCAGTAACACATGACATGCTGTGCTTTTTGCTATGCTGACTCTCAGTCACAACCAGGGAACCCCTAAACCAAGACCCTTGACTCGGGACTCTGGACCTCTACAGTAGGAGCCAAAAAGTTGGAAAACCCAACAGCCTCAATCCTGAAGAGTAATGTATAGGGAATCCCAGCACTATTTGGCCTTAATCCGGTTTCCAACTTTATGGGGTTTACCTTAAACCCCTAAACCCTAAACCCTAAACCCTAGCCCTCAAACCGCCGTGCGCAGGATTCCAGCCCTACAGAGCGCAGCGAGCTACCGACGACGGTGAAGAGCGGCCGGGGGCCACGGCGCCGACTCTTCAGGATTTAGAGCCTGGGCTTTAGATGTGGGTGGTTGTCAAAATTATGGTGCCGTTTTGGGTCCTGAATATAATACGGCACCAAATATGTAGGGTACCCAAAAGGGGACCATAATTTTCACAACCACCCATGTGTTTAAAGTTTCATGTTGGGTGCTTGGGGCCTTGGGATTTCTCTCTCAGCTTCTGTAGACACTGCTATCAAGCCGGAGAGCCTGATTCTCTAACACTTCCTGCAGATCCCTGGTGAAGAACCCATCCCTTGCTTCTCAGTTTTCATACGGGTTCGAATGTCAAGCCAAATAGTATGATCCATAATGTTCCGTCGCAGCCGCAACATCAGCCTGCATCAGCCTGTCGTCAAGAACTACAAGTGTGGTTGCAGAAGATGGATGGCTCTAATGAGCAAGGAGTGAGGTGCATGTCGGGGTGCGATATGATTCCTGCTTCGACTGCTTCGGGGTTTCGACTGTTTAGGGCTCAGGATGTTAAGGTTGTATGGACTTTCGGATGTAGGTCCTAAACCCTTTTAAAACCCTAAACCCAGGATCAAGTAGAATCCCGAAGGCTAGCTTTTAGCTCTCCTAGGATACGGGACAAGTCTTTAGAGCTGTGGAGGATTCATTTCATTCGGTTCAACAAAGACACGCATCACATGAGGACTTCGCACAATGACCGTATTGCTGCGAGTAAAGCATTAGCAGTATCTTCGCCGAGATGTGTCTTAGTCGTACCTTGGGGGCGGAAGAGCCGAAAGCCCCAGCCAGAATTGTTTGATTTGGGTTCACCCAAGCCGTAGATTCAATCCCTGAGGCCATAAAACCCTACACCAATCCCCAAGCCCATAATCACCAGCCACAAACGCCCTAAGTGAAGTGGCGCAGCTTAGCGTCACTGTCACCAGCTAGAATAGCAGCACGCCCCTTAACTGAGCAATTGAGCCTACAGCGCGCGGCTTAAGGAATTGAAGACCTTACTTCTGAGAACGTCATAGAGACCTCCAACTTACTCCTCCCTGCAACAGGTTCGAAGGCGGACTTTGATGATGCTCTAGATGGCTTAGCTGAGGAGCTTGTCGATGCTTGTTTGGGAGTACACTGCTAGTGGGTTCTTCTTATGCGACTCATGAGGACTGTCGCGGCCCCAAGCAACAGGGTGGGGTTTAGGGTTTATGGCCTGAATCTGGGTGCTTGTGGTTGGAGGTCATGTCCAAGCCGGTCTTTTGCAGGAGGAGAGGAAGCACCAAGAAGCACGAAGCAGCACGGACCTAAGGTGCAAATCGTTCTCTAAAACTGCCGTGCAACGAGATTATGAACTCTCAATCGTTGTGAGATTCGGGTCTCCTGAAAAACCGTATTAGTAGCAACCCTTGAAGCATTTAAGCCTGATTAAAGACCCTTCTGATGACCCTTGTCGCTTGGTCACCCTTGGTACAGCAACTCCTACAACTTTGTATAGCTTCAAAGACCCCCAAACCCTAAACCCGAAACCCCAAAACTCCAAAGCCCTTAACTAATCAACCCTAAACCTAATCAACCCTAAACCCAAAACCCTAAACCCTAAACCCTAAACCTTTAACCTAATCTACCCTAAACCCTCAACCCCTGAACCCCTAAACCCTAAACCCTAAACCTTAAACCTCATCAACCCTAACCTTATACCCTAAACCTAATCTACCCTAAACCCCTGAACCCCTAAACACCTATATACACCTTAAACCCCTCCACCCCTAAACCCTAAAACCCTATCCCTAAACCGTAAGAGCCTTGACCTTCAGGAGCTGCTACTGGACGATCGGCACCCCGGAGTTCCTGGGCTCGGAGGGGGTGCTTAGAGGTTCCTTAAAGGCGTACCTTAACAGGGTACCTGAAAGGGCTACTTTAAAGGGCTACTACAAGGATTACTATAGGGATTCCTTAAAAGGGTACCTGAAAGGGCTACCTCAAAGGGCTATATACTACAAGGGGTACTATAGGGGTTCCTTAAAGGGTTACCTTAAAGGGCTACTTTAAAGGGCTACTATAGGGGTTACTACAAGTTGCAAGGGTTACCCTTAAAGGGTACCTTAAAGGGCTACTATAAGGGTTACTATAAGGGTTGCTAGAAGGGATACGAAAAGGTAAGGGTTTTACTTGGAGGTTCATGGGCAGTTACTTGGACCTAGAAGAGGCCCTTATGCCCTTTCTTTAGGGTTCTGGCTCAGGTCCCTTACAAGCCCCTTCAAACCAAAAAGGGCACCCTTTTTATGTCTAGGTTACTTGGGTCTAGGTCATCAGAGGGGTTATAAGTAGGGTAACTATGCTTATAACCCATACTAGGGGACTTATAGCTCCACTTATAACTACCCATGAACCTCCAAGAGGGGGTGGTGTTTCTCAGGGCTGCCTTCCAGGCTTCAGCACGTACCTGGGGCCTAAAATTGTGTTTACTTCTAGAAGGATTTTTATCATAAGGAGTCATACACAGAAGCCCTGTAATATGGAACTTTTAAAAAGGTAGTATCTTCTTCTACAGATTGGGTTTGGAGATTCGGGTGGTTTTTGTTTTACGGAGAGTTTAGAGTTTGGGCTCATGTTTATCGGGTTGAGGAATTTAGGGTTCTAGGAAGTGTAGGGTGATGTTCACGTAATCATGGGCCTTCACAGCACAACCAGGGCAAGTGTTATGGCGAATTTTACGGGGTAGGCTAGCAGAAACTATTCAAAGCGCGGAGGCGTGGAGTTGCTAAATATTTAGTTATTCAGGCTCCCGCGGTAGAGGTCTTGGAAGCTCAGGTGGAGGGGAGGAGAGGGAGCGTGCACCTGGCTGCCTTGAAACCTCACAGCTTTCAAGCTTGGGCAAGTCTAAACACGAGACTTCTTAGCCCACCAGTGATTTAGCAAGATCCGGAGCCCAATCTGAAACCAAAGAGCTGCGGAAGAAAGGCTTTTGGGTGGGGATCGCATGAGGCAGAGAAGCTGCGAGGCTGAAGGGGCCTATAAGAAAGGTGCTTAATTACTTGCCAACATTAGTCCCCTAGGATTCCTTGTTAATTGTAGTTATGCTGGAAAGGAGCCCAAAACCCTATTCTTTGTTATAAAGGTCCCTACATGTCCCTACATTAAACCCTAAACAAACGTCTGAGCCTAAGCCCCAACCCCTTTATGGAAGCCTCCAATGCCCTAAAAAACCCTAAACCCCCAACCTAAGCCTTAAACCCTCTATGGAAGCCTCAAGCCCTACAAGCCATAAAACCCCCAAACCATCCCAAACCCAAAGCCTTAAACCCTACTGTAGGGGCAGTAGTAACTACCTGTACTATTTTGGGGGTTCCTTAGAAAGTATAGTATAATGGGCCATGAAACCCTGTTCTAATTAACACCCTCTATGGAAGCCTCTAAGCCCTATAAGCCCTAAAACCCCCAAACCATCCCAAGCCCTAAGCCTTAGGGGTTTAGGGTTTAGGGTAGCCACAGACTTGCCTGAACCGAGGTCGGTCCGCTCAAAAGAGCCGCGGAGCCAGGTGGCCTAGGCCAGGGCACCGCGGAGTTTGGGCGCGTTTTCTCTCTTAGGGCTGCAGGGCCTCTAAGGGCATCAGAGGGCCGTTACAAATTGGGAGTGTAGGGCTTGGGGGGTTTGGTGGTTTGAGGGTGTTTAGGGAGTTCTGGATTGGAGTTTCAATGCAGCTTTTAGGGTGTGGGTGGTTTTTTCTGGCATTGGAAGTTGTTCCTGGAGAACTACATGTGTTCTATAAGTCGTTCTACCGGGGCAGCCCAGGGCTTTGGGTCTAGACTTTGATTTTTCTCAGTGGCTGAGTAAGCAGCCTATGAATTTACGGACCGGCCCTCAAGTGGTCCAGGCAATGCTTCTCCGGGGTTTTACGAATCTTGGGCTGAGGGTGTGTGGTTCAATATCAGGGTTCTGTGTCTGAGGTCGCAGGGATTGAGGGTTTAGGTTCCGGGTCTAGCGCTGCGGGTTCAGGGTGCAAGGTGCCAGGGCGAAAACCTGGTGAGCTCCGGGCTGGACGTGTTTTACACGGGCTTCTGTAGTGTCTTATCGAATTCTGTGAGTCTTCCATACCAAACGGGTTTCGGGGGTTGAGGTTTGGGGCTAAGCTCCGATGCGGTTTGGGGTGGACAAGGCTACTGCTGTAAAGCCAAACTACCGTGCGCAGCCGCACCCCGAGCTGCGCAGTTCGGTACTTTTCACCCTTTCATGCATGCGTCTTTGTGCCGTCAAGGTTTGCGCATTGGCCTCTTGCTTTGAAGGTTTGTGTTCCACCTCGAGCACCAAGTCCACAACCCGACAACTCTCAACTGGGTCCGAACGCGTGATACTGTCGCACCACCCGCATAGGAAGGTGCGACAGAGAACCTCGTGTTAAGCGTGCTACACTAACGTAGCACGCTCTAGTTTATGACTGCCAGTCTGCCGTTTTCAGCATTGTCTTTATCACCTTATGATTCGCACAGTTTCACCTATTGTTCTTGTGAGTCTTGATTTGCTTGTTGCAGTTGCTCTGCTGGCTACTTCCAGTATCAGGAGACACGGTGGTAGTTGCAACTGTAGTAATAATGTTGAAGACATGTGTAAAACTTGGAGGTTCATGGGGAGTTATAAGTCGGGTTGTAAGTAGGGTAACTATAGTTATCACCCAAAGTAGGGGGGTTCTAACCCCACTTATGACTACCCATGAACCAGAGCGTAGTTTGCCAGAAAAGCTCTGCATGGTGAGTTCAACACTCGCTCGAGGCAGTTCTTCGCCATCTCGGCCCTTTGGGCACCTCGGCTGTGGCTTTGGGTTTAGGGGTTAGGGGTTAGGAGGGCGTTTTTTTGACGGACTACACAGCGAAGCTGATCGTTAGGAGGGCGTGGGGATAAGTCAAGCCGCATAAGTTGTGGTCATGCCAGCTTTCACGAGCTTCTAAGCGACACGCCCCAAAGTGAGACGGCTGGCCCCAAGCCGAAGAATCTAATTCCCAAAACTGCTCACCCCACCTTAGAGTGCCATAAGCTATTTTGAAACGGTTTCGTGTAAACCCGAGTGTATAGAATCTGAAAGGACCCTACCAGAAAGGTAGGTTTTAGCAGTTCAAGGTAGACCGCCATGGGCTTCCTCTGACACTCTTGGGCTTCACGAGTTGTGTTGAAAGGGAGAGCGCAGCGATCTCTGAAACCACTGCGACGACGGACTAAGCGGGAGATCAATCAAGCTTCCAAGGCTGATAAGAAGGCCAGGGTGGATGAACAAGAGCTTGCGCAGCCAATGGCGGCTTGCAACCCTGAGTCTGCTGCGGCTTCTAGCCAGGAGTCCATGCCTGGACCCTCAAGGCCTGCATCCGGAACCCTCCAGCCGGTGACGCCGCCCAAAGTTGCATCGCCAATCCAAGCTGTGCTTGTACCAATGCCGCCAAGAGTTTCGTCTGCAAGGCCTCTTGCCCCGTCGCCTCCAGCTGGCCCACGCACGATGCAGCGGGTTGAGTGCTGCCGGGCTGAAGGGCTTGGGGCTGATATGAAGATAAGTATTTTTTGTTATTGTTATGCTAGTGTTGTTTTCAGCATTACTACTGCTATTGCTGTGATTGCTGTCATTATTATTGTCATAGGTGTTATTCTTACCACTCTGATGGGTAGTTGTGTTGCTACTTTTCTTATTGTTGGTGATGTTTTTATGAAGCTTATTATTCATGACATAGTGTGTTTGCCTTTTTAATTGGGTTCGCATTTGTTTATTTACGGTTAGGGTGTGCATAAGGATATGGGCAGGGGCGCCTCAATGCTCTCGCAATCCCTGCACATTTTTCAAGACTGGACTTCAAACCCTAACCCCTCAAACGAGAGTAGGTGCGGAGCAGAAAGAGCCATTGCACTGAAAAAAAACCTAGAGCCCCACGGCGCGCAGTCACTGCTCTCAGGAAGAGTTTCGGGCAAGTTAATTTGCAGTCAGCGTCTCCAAACGCTTCGCAAAGCCAATAAACACTCAGCTCGAAGACTTGTGCAGCACGGGACCCGGGACCAGAGGTTTCAGTACATGGCTATTCCCTTTAAGAGGGAGAGACAGAGAGAGAGAGAGAGAGAGAGAGAGAGAGAGAGACAGAGACAGAGAGAGAGAGAGAGAGAGAGAGAGAGTATAAGATGCTCCGAAACCCCACTCTAATCACAAAGGCCCCTGTGACAGGCCGTGTACAAACCCAATAAGTAAACCTTTCGCAAATTCTGTAAGTCCGTATAAACACCCTGAAAAAAAACATCAAACAACTGCGTGCAAGCCTGAAAGCCTGGGGAGGCAGCCGGCTGCGGAAATGCGGGTCATCGGACCAAAGCCAGCTCCTCAGGAGTAGGTTCCCAGAGACTCCAATACCCCTGAATTAAGGAATATACTTTCATATATAATAGGATCCCTAATATGTTTTAAGGAGTATTCCTTAATTAAGGGGTATTGGAGTCTCTGGGTTTTAGGGCTTCCAGGGCTTAGGAAGTTGTGATTTAGGGTTTCTGGTATAATGTTTGAGGATTTAGGGGGTTCAGGGTTGAGGAGCTTTTTTCAAGCCTTAGGGACTATAGATGTTGAGGGTTCGAGTTCTTGAGGTCTCGCTTGTCTCTCTGTCCGAGGCTTAGGGAGGTTTCACCGGGCTTACCTATTGAATGCGGCGTTCTTGGGCTTGGCTTGAGGCTCGTCTGCACTTCAGGGCTTTGCTGAGTTCAGGTTTTCCGTGGAGGGTGCCGGAGCAACTCACTTCATGCTTCCACAACTCAGCCTGTTCGGGGGGAACACTCGCAGACACTCTGCTGTAAGCCCGATGCAAAGCCATCGCATGTCAGCGAAGCCGGCCTCACCCCCCCCCCCCAGGCCCGTGAAGTCGTAAAGGAAGAAATTTGGAATGTCGGACAACCGGAACTGCATCTGCATGAGCTCGAAGCTGTGTATATCCAGGTCTTTGAAGCCTTGTAGCTCGGTTCTAGCAGCCGTCATTCGAAAAGCCCAGAACCCCTCGGCCCTTGCCACGAACCCCAGTATACAGTCCTCTGAGCTGAAGGGCTCTTGAGAAGACTTCGTAGAATCCATTCCGTCAGATGTACTATCGGTGCCTTAGCAATTACCTATACCATTTTGCGGGCTGCCGCCAGCGAACTCCGTCGAAACCCTGAATGCTGAAGCCCCTCAATGCTTAAACCCGACCCTAAACCCTTGGATCCTTCTCGCTATAGGGGATACTTACACTATAATGTACCCCAAACCTCATTTTGAGTACTGATCGTTGAGAAGGTTCCTTGATACATCTTTATACTATAAAATCTCCCCAACCTGAGACTGATTATTGAGGCTTCTACACGTAATTTAGGGGCTTGAATAAGTTCAAACACTAGTTTCGGGGCTCATTATTATAAGTATAGCACACTGGGCCCCAAAACCTTCTTCTAATTATTAAGGCCCCTATACTATAGTACCCTTATAGTATCCCTTATATAGAGCCCAAAATAAGGGACCCTAGGCTAATTATTAAGGCCCCATAATACATCAAAGTCGTAAGCATGGCCCGAAACCCGTCGCAACCCAGGCCGGGCTCAAACGCCTGGGGTGGGGACGCGCCACACAAGGCCGTAGAGTTCAGGGGTTAGGGTTCAGGGTTCAGGGTTAGGGTTTAGGGTTTAGAGTTCAGCGGTTAGGGTTTAGGGTTGAGAGTTCAGGGGTTAGGGTTTAGGGTTCGGGGTGAGCGTTTAGGGGCAGCCGTGTTGTGGCTTTTCCTCCGGGGCGGGGTGACGGAAAGTTGAACAGTTGACGAAATTCTTTCGTTGGTGAGGCTTGGGTTTCGGGATTTGGAGCTTTGGGCTTTGGAGATATGTTTCCGCATCTCTTGGGTACCCTCCTGAACCATCCTGAACATCCCAGACGTTTTTGCGCATCGCTGCTGCGAAGCTCCACACCTTGCAGCCTCAACAGTTCATGATTCAGTGTGTTATTTTCTGTATACATATATATATATATATGTATATACATATATCTGCAAGCTCCTGTTTCGGACTGGGCGCTTTGGCTTTCGGGGTGCGGAGTTTCCCAAAAACCCGATGCTGCCACTTAATTGCGGAGCACACCTGGAAACGACGGGGCACACTACTTTCAGAAGGTTTCCAGCGTTCCTGACGAAGCGAAAACATCTGATATTACAGAGGGCTTTGCAAGATGGCTGCTGGATTCCTGAGATCAGGCACAAAATCCCAAAGCCTTAAAAGCCCTAAACCTAAAACCCTAAAAGCCGTAAGCCCTCAAGGCCGTAAGACCCCTAAACCCTGAACTCTAAGTACAAGGGCTCTCTGGCTCGCAATCCTGAACCCAGGGTCCGACTTACCGTGGACGCAGACAACCCGAGTACAGTAGTTTGGGAGTTAGGGGATTTAGGGTTTTAGTTTGGGAGTTATGGGGTTTAGGGTTTAGTTTGGGAGTTCTGGGGTTTAGGGTTTTAGTTTGGGAGTTATGGGGTTTAGGGTCTAGGTTTGAGTAGGTAAGATTTAACACCTTTCCCAATCTACTCCCAAAGGTAAACCTTTAGTTCCCCAGGATACTGGGCAAGTAGGCAACCCCATGCCCAAAGGTCCAGTCTAGGAAGGCTGTGGGATTATGTAGGGTTCAGAGTGACTCTGAGATGAGTAGTGTCAGTTTAGGATTTAGGGTTGACGAGGGTTTAGGTAGCCCGTTTGATTAGATGTCCAATGATATATGGTCCTGCATCCCAGGACCCCGATCTACTCGCCTAGGCCTCTGAAATTGCACCAAACTTCCTACCTTTTCTGCCTTCGATGTGCATCCAGACAGCACTGCTACAACTGCTGCTGCTGCTGCTGCTGCTGCTGCTGCTGCTGCTGCTGCTGCTGCTGCTGCTGCTGCTGCTGCTTTTTCTACTACTACTACTACTACTACTACTACTACTACTACTACTACTACTACTACTACTACTACTACTACTACTACTACTACTACTACTACTACTCCTGCTACTACTGCTACTACTACTACTACTACTACCACCACCACCACTACTACTACGACGACGACGGCGACTACTACTACTACTACTACTACTACTACTACTACTACTACTACTACTACTACTACTACTACTACTACTACTACTACTAGGCTGGCGTCCACCCGAACGGGTCCAGCCTCACGGGGATCGACGAGGTGCACCTTTGCGCAGGGGAACCCTTCTACGGCTTTGCGGGTTGTGCTATCTCCCAGAGTCGGAAGCCCGAAACCCCATAAACCCTCAGCAGAGTTTCGTTCCAGACTTCCGGAACCTTGCCGGACAAGAACGAACCCTCTTGAACCCTCGGCCCTTAAGACCTAAGCCCAAAATTAGTTAAACTGGCATCCTTCGGCCCCAAACATTCAAACAACCCTGTGGCCTAGAGGCCCCGGGCAAACACAGGCGCTCGTCTCTGCCTGAAGGCGTCCGAAGCTCTGAACACGCGACGAAGTCAGCTCTTGGTCCTAAATCCCAAACACGACATCCGAAACACCACGGATTTATCATTCCCTAAGCCTGAAGCCATAAAATAAGACCCCAAAGTCCCTCAACCAAAGCCCCTGGGCTCAGGCTCCGAACCCGCTCCTGGCTCACCACTGCTGAACCGTGTAAGCCCCCTACAAATATTCTTCAATGGCAGTTTTTTCGATCCAGTAATTCGGATAAAGGCCCCTAGTTGTATGAAACCATTCAGAAGCTATATGAAGCCCTTGAGAGCCCTTACACTAAACCCTTAAACCCGTACGTGTACGCTGGAAAACCGACCTTCTTCAGGACGTAGATAAGGAAATCCCAAGAAGGAGCCTGAAAAGGTAAGTTATTTGTGGTTATAATTACCCTCAATAAACACCGTTCTACTAAACCATCCTAACCCCTAAACCAGAAACCCTTAACCCTAAGCCTTAGTTCTGCAAGGACAGCGTCTTAGAGGGATCCCTGGAGCCTGCGCCTCAGTGAATGCTGCGGAGTTTAGGGTCAGGGATTGGACATGTTTAATATAGGGGCCTTTCCTTTTTAAAGGGGTCTATAGGGGCTACCCCCATTATATTATAGTTATAACAAGGATCCCCCTCAATAGTATTGGTGGTTACTTCGGCCCCTATATTAGGGCCTTAGGGTTTACAAAGGGTTGGTATGGGGCTGATAGGGTTTAGTGATGTTTGGGTTTGTAGAGGGTTGGTGTGATAGGGTTTAGCGGTGTTTGGGGTTTACATAAGGTTGGTGCAGGGTTGATGGCTGGGGTTTAGGGATGTTTGCGATTTATAGAGTGTCAGCCCTTTTCCGTAGCAGCTGCGCATGTAAGTTTTCAACAAATCCGCAGAATTGAAGGAAACCCTCTTAGAGCTAAGCAAGCGGCGGATGAATGGCTGGCGGTTGGATGATTCTGGTTCACTTCTTGATTTCTGATTTGGGGTTTAGATTTTAGGTTCTGGGTGTAAGAAGCAGGTCTGGCCAGGTGTGTTTGTGGGCGGGGGCGGGGGGGCGGGGAGCAAAACCGTGCACGCCCGGCTTGCTTAGACAGATCCCTAAAGGCTACGGAGCTCTGATCTGCGCAGCCGCGTCATTCAAACTCTGAAATCCCAAACCCTATTTGGCCCCCTGCAATCCTAGTTCTGACCATCAGTGTCGATTTATCCAAGACGACAACCTTTCTGCAGGTATTTCGCAGCGTACTCATCTGGACAAATCGGTGCCAACTGATAATTCATGGGGGCTGTTGTGTTTGGTTCTTTCGGTTGTTGGTGTTGTAACATAGAGGCCTGAATAGTGTTCTTATTAATCGTGACGGTGTGTCCAAAATCTTGAAACCACAACCCTGAAATCGGGTGCCAATTGAGTAGGGGAGTGGCCTTACACGACCCCCCGAGAATGCCCTGCAGAACCGGGTATAGGATACCCCTATATTATTATTATTATTATTATTATTACTATTATTATTATTATTATTATTACTATTATTACTATTATTATTATTATTACTACTACTATTATTACTATTATTATTACTATTATTATTACTATTATTATTACTACTATTATTACTATTACTACTATTATTACTACTATTACTATTATTATTATTATTATTATTATTACTATTGTTACTATTATTGCTATTATTACTATTATTGCTATTATTACTATTATTACTATTGTTATTATTATCACTATTATTATTACTACTAGTAATACTAGTATTACTATTATTATTACTACTAGTATGACTATTGTTACATCATTACTATTACTACTATTCTTACGTTAGTACTGTTATTAGACTCTTGGTACTATTCTGGTTGGTAATACTTACTGTTATGATTATCATTATGAAACCTATTATCACTACTCCTGGTACTTTAAATAATAAGGGCAGTTTGCTTCATACTTAACTTAAACAATTTTTCCTCAGGAGTACAACTCCTCGAAAGCATCATTCTCAGACCAGGTTTTTGTGAACACACGCACACAAACACACACATGACATGCATGTGCGTACATCTTTTTTGATTTTTGTGTGCTGTCGATGTTGGTTACAAGTCGCCGTTGTCTTTTGTCACAGTCGTTCAGTCGTCGGTGGGGGGGGTGGGTGGGTGGGTGGGTGGGCCGGCAGCAGCAGCCGCAGCCGCAGATGTCGAGTCGATGGACGTGGAGGCGACCTCGGGGGGGGGGGGGGGGGGGCTGCGGGTGTCCGGCGACTTAAAGGGCTACTAGTGTATTTCGGAGTTGGGTGTTATTTAAGTTTGGGCGTGAAGGCTTTATGAGTTTATTACAGTTTTCGGAGATTAGGGTCTGTGCGGGCTTTTTGATTACTAAACGGGTTTTAGGAAGTTGAGGATACAGTTGTTTGTTCTAGGAGGTACGCCTAGTTTTTGGTGATTTCAAGTGCATGGGGCTGTCGGGCTTACTGTAGGGTTTTTATTTCGGAGGTGAGGGCATTGCTAGTTAAGGCTACGAGTTTTAGGTATGTTGTATTGTTGTTTGGTTTCCGTTCTTCAGGGGTACCCGGGGTTACGGTCAGGGGCCAGGACTTACTTGAGGCTGTTGGATTTAGGGTAATTTCAGGCTTGGCGGTTGTCCCTAGCACTGTAGGGCAGGGAGGATTAAAGTTCTTCGGGGTTTCAGGCAGGTTTGTCGTTTTTTAGGTCCAGGGGTTTAGGAGTTTAGGGCTCCTTGGCTTAGAGTTTAGGGCATTGGGGTTGTGGTGTTTGGAGCTTTGTGGTTCCTCCTATACCCCGAAACCCTGAGCCCTAAACCTAAAACCCCAAACACTAGATTACAAAAGACTAAACCCCAAACCCAAAGCCCGAAGCCCTACAATCCTACAACCCCAAGTCAAGTGACAAGCACTAAAATCATTAAAGCTCCTAGATCCTAGCAGCCCTCAACTCATACAAATGTTTACAAATAACCCTGAACCCCACCTAAACCCCAAGTGCTGGCCCTATACTATTTAAAAACCCGAAATGCTCCCAACCCTCTGACACCCCCTTAAAATCTCAAACCCAAAGCCCTAAACCCCCTGAACCCTAGAGGCACCTCAAACCCGCAAACTCCCGAAGTCCCGAATCTTAAACCCCTAAGCCCCAAAGCCCTTTGACTTTGCCAGCTCGGAGACGATGATCCAGTGGCACGGAGTCCTCGGCTTGGGTTACGGCCTTAGGGTTTGGGGGATTTCGGATTTATAAGGGTTAGGGCCTTAGGGTTTGGGATTGGGGTTCAGGGGATTTCGGAGGGTTTGGGATTGGGGTTCAGGGGATTTCGGATTTAAGGTAAGTGTAAATCGTCCGCCAGGACGTCGTCCGTAAGGACGCGACCGCAAGGTCGAAGAGGGTTCGTCCGAAAGGACGTCGTCCGTAAGGACGCGACCGTAAGGTCGATGGTAGGTGCAAGGTCAGAGGTGAGGTTTTTCACGTAACTAGCCAGGGTTTTTGTTTCAGTCAGTAGCCATCCGAAAGGATGTCGTCCGTAAGGACGCGACCGCAAGGTCGAAGCCCCCCGTCCGCAAGGACGTCGTCCGTAAGGACGCGACCGAAAGGTCGATGATGCATCTAGATCCCACAGTCGTCCCCGAACCCTAGGCCCAAGAAATCCAAGTAGTAAAACTCCCCCCCCTCCCCCACAATCTCCACCGTAAGCCTCCAATCCCTTCCATTGTCGCCCCCCATCAACCCCTAAACCTCTCAAACCCGAAAATCCCAAAACCGTGAAGCCCCGCAACGAGGACCTAGAACCCGAAGCCTCAAAAATCACTCAAACTCCCATCAGCCCCAATAAACTCATTCAAAAAGCTCCAAACTCTGACTGAACCCCACCTAACACCCTGAAAACCTCGCGCTAAACCCCCCACACAGCCCTGCAACCCAAAACTGTAAACCCCAGGCCCTAAACCCAAAACCAAAAATCCTGAACCCAAAACCGTCAACCCTGAAGCTTAAACCCTGCCCTGAACCCCCCGAAACCCGAAACTGAAACTAGGCCCCAACCGTCTTAATCGCTTTAACCCTAAAAAAAACCCTATACATGTGTTTGGCTTAGATAATAAATGTCTAGTCGGGGGATGTTCAAGGGTCCAGGGTTTGGGGCCGTTTGGGGCTTCGGGTTATTAAGGGCTTTATTATTTCAGGGCTAACCCCGTAAGCCCAGAACCCGGAACTCCGAAACCAAGTAAGCCTGAAGTGCCCTAAACACCAAAACATTGAACCCCGAAGCCCTCTAAGGACCGAGCCGGAAACTTCGACCCTAACAAAGCACCGCCCGAAACCCCCTAAGCCCCCGATCCCGAAACTTAGACCCCCCAAACCCTTAAGCCCCGAACCCCACATCCCTGAACCCCTAAGCCCTAAACCCTTAAGGTGGCCACAGTCGACGTGCTCACACTGCTGCTTTGCCTGAGCCTCAGAACTTAACCCATCATGTAACCCCACAACCTCTAAACCCGAATGCCCTTGAGGTAGGTAGCCAAATGCCTCGTGATCTCATTGGTCGGTGCGTGAATGGATATGCCACATACAGTTGCCCTCCTCGAATCGCATAAATAAACCGTTATTTGAGCCCTAAACCTCCACCAAACCCTAAACCCTGAAGGTCGGTAGTCAGATGCTGGGTCATCTAGTTGAAGTGCATTCATGGATGATGACGAACTAAATTCCCACACTGTTGCCTTCCCTTGACCCCTAAACTCGAAACCCGTTGAAATGCCTCATCATCTTTTAATGGGTGATGTGCATGAGTGGCTGAACGAGATTCCCAGTGTCCCACCTACTATCAAACCACAACCAAGGGAATCAATGGCCAGTGGGCTTGGGATAATCATCAGCCGGGGAAATAAGAAGACCATGTTGGGCTTTTTTCTAGTCGGACATTGTGTATAGGAGTATAGGAGTTGTGACATAAGTGGGAGCTTCGCTGATCTGGAAGTCCTATTACTCCACTGTCACGTAAGCTGTTGATTTGTCTTCTTTGTTTATTTTCTTTGGAGCGTAGAGCGGGGGTACGAGGGCGGCTACCGATACTTCCCGGCCGCCGAGGTTCGTCTTCGGGCTGCCTTCAGCGTCTGGGCTGCTGCCTGCTGCTGGCCTGTCGACGAGGCGCCAGTGCAATCATTGCCTTATTGTTACCTAACTTCCGGGATTGTGTGTGCGTGAGGTTTAACAAACGGTTTGGCGGAAAGCACATGTATACCGTTCAGTCGTGGCCGGCTCATGAGTGAGAGTCGAGCCGCAGAGCAGTGGACCAGTGGAAGTAGTCGTCATCTTGATTTGATTCTATTCTAGAGTCTTTAAAGACCTGAATTTAATGATGGATTAGATCTGAATCCCACTTTCCCTGGTCACTGCCTACCAGTCACACTCAGTCGTTGCTACTTAGACTTTAAGTAGCCGCGAAACTCTCAGCCCGGGGAACGGACGGGCTTGGGATAATAATCATCCGCGGTTCGACT